TACATAAGGATTAATGATGTTAATAGAGGAAAAATAAAGATTTAGTTAAGAACAAAAAACACATAGGTACCAAATTGAAAATTGAAAAAAAATATAAGTACCTCCAATATGGTTTTCCCAATTTATAATGATAGAGTAATTAATTTTCAAAAAATTATTAAAAAATCTTTTATTATAAAATTTGTTTTGAAAAGTACCTGAAATTTATTCGAGATAAATTGTATATAGCCGGAGATATATAGTTATATTCTTTTTGATAAATAATCAAAATTATATTTATCAAAACAGAATTATACTTATTTAACGACCTAGGTCCCGTAGTAAATTTAAGTAATTATAATAAAATGTTTGTTTTATAGCAATTTTTTTATTTTTTCAAATACTTATTTTGAGTCGCTTAATATAAAATGGCAGTCTCATAAATCATGACTTTTGAAAGTTACAATTGCTATTTTAAGAGTTTATTTGAAATAATTTATAAGTAATTTTTTATTTATGATTTATGAACATCTTGATCTAAATGAGCACTAAACAAGTTCCTTAATTTTGATTTTTTAACCCTAATTATACTAAAAAGAAGAGGGAGGGGAAGATATTTTAGCTCAAGGTCTGACAGTTATCCTATCCATTTACTTTTTGGGGGGGGGGGGTCACAGTACAGTCAGCTGTGCAACCACATACATGTGGGGCCATCGTTGTTATAAGCCACACTATTAACTTTTCATATTTCTCTCTCCTCCACGTGAAGCATCAATTCCTAAGGGCTAAGGCCGTCTTTGGAGGGCGTGTTAGACTTCGGAATCCATGCTATTCACTTGCCCTGGCCCCGCAATTTTTGTGTGTGCCCCAAACATCATCATCATCCATGAGCATCCTAATGAAAAACATGCCAAAAATCGAGAGAAAATCCAAAAAACTTGGGTATGAATTTGTAAAAACGAGAACGACAGGAAAAGAAATTACAAATTACAAATTCCAAATATAACGTAATTTTATTAGGTATTGATAAGTTTGAATTTATAAATGATACTCCCTCCGTTTCTTATTATAAGAGACAAATAACCGAATTATGTTGATAAAAAAACAGTTAAAATTAGTTAATAATAATTAATGTGTAAAAAATATAATTTTTTTTCAAAAATACTCTCATTAATAAGGAGAGAGCATGAGAGAGAACAATGGTAAATTATTAAAAGAAAGAAAAGTGGAAAGGAGAGAGAATGTAAGTTGGAGACAATAAATATGGGTAAAATAGGAAATCAACACAAAAAAGTAGAGACAACTTTTAAGTGTCTTTTATATATAGGAACATGTCATAAGCATTAAATGTCTCTTATAATAAGGAATGGAGGGAGTAATAAATTTTTGATGACATTTTTTGTTTGGCATTTATAAAATTCTAGTTTTTTTTTTTGGTTATTGTCCCTTTGTAAAATTCAATGGAAACGCTCCGTAATTAATTAAAATATTAAGATGTTAGTGGTTTTGGTTTTTACAATATCTCTTTCACTTAAAAAAAAAAGACAATGATAGAAAAAGAAGCTGAAAATTACAAATCCCAAATTAGGTTTAGTAACACAATATTATTTAGTATTGACAAGTTTAATTTACAAATGAAAATAAATTTTTGTTGATATTTTTTGTTTGGTATTTACAAAATTCCAACTTCTTTTTTTGTCACTGTCCCTTAAAAAAATAAAAAATACACCAATTTGTAGGCATTTTTAGAAATTTTTGATAGTATGGTGGTGGGTAGGGCTGTGCAAAAACCCAGTGGTCCAGTATGGTCCGGTCCAACCCAACCAAACATAGTCCAGTCTGGTCCAGAAAAAATTGTCCCGAAACAAGACTAGAGCAGACTGGACTGAACTGGTCTCATCGTGCTAGATTGGACTGGGGACTGGCCTCTCAGACCAGTTGGTCCAGTCTAGTCTAGGCCGGTTTTTCTTTAATTATTATTTATATAATTTTAATTTGATTTAATTTTTCTATATAAGTTTTTGGTCTATTCAAATAATCAAGATTTATCTATTAACTTCTTAAGTAATGAGCATGCGTATATACTTTCTACAATATAAGATCTATATTAATGAGGATTAATTAATAAAACATGACATTATCGGGAAATTGAAAGGGAATGATCAAATTTGATGAACTTTGAATTAAAATATGTGCAAAATTTTATATAGTAAGTTACAATCTTACCTCCTATTGAAGAAAAATTAAAAAAGAATAAAAATTTAGGTCCTAGACTGCCTGGACCAACTCTAATCCAACCCGACCTCGGATTGGTACTGGACTGGACCAGATCTCGGGCTGTCTTTTTCAACTCGAGGTCTTTATTGGACCAGACTTCGGGCTGATAACAAACCTGATCCAGTCTGGTCCACACGCACCCCTAGTGGTGGGGTAAGATTTGATTCCATCCTGTTAGTTGTTTATCATAAGGGCAAATATATAATTTAAGATAGAGTAAAATATTCTGACTCATTCTAATTTACATCAATTACACAGATCTCTCTTTTATTTTAAAAACTTACAATTTAGTCCAATTAGTTAACACTGTTAGGAATATTTTAAAAATATTATTTTAACTGAAATTTATATTAAAATAAAATTTATTTATTATTTTATTCTTCCTTCTAATAAATTTCTAAATTATTTTTTATAGTTACATCAATTTTATTATGTTAAAACAAACATAAAAGATTTGATTAAAAATTTAACTAATTTTATGAAATTTTATGATTTAAAGTAAAATATGAAAATTATAAATTCTTATTATTTAGACCAAAATTAATAAATTTTATACCATATTAGAAATTTTAAAGACAATTATTTTTTGAAACATATAGATGTCTAAATAATTATTAATTTAAAAAGGGACATTTTGATTAAAAAAATAATCTAAAGTCACAGTCAACATTCAACTAACTATTTGAGTGGATGAAAATAAAATTTTAAACATAGAAGAGAAGGTCATGTAACATATGTTTTAGCTGTAAAAAAATTTATATACGTTTTCAAAATAAAAAAGAGGTTTTTATAATTGAGATAAAATAAAAGAATAATCAATATATTTTACTCTTTAAGGTGAAAATTCTTTTCACCTATTTATTCTGTATATTATAAATCATAATTAAAAAGTTACTTCTAAAAACTTCCATTATAATTCTAAATAAGTCTTGACCGTATATAAAACATGAGTTCGTTGAGCTTTCACTTAATTTCGTTGATCAGTTTTGAATTGCAGTTGGCAAAACAAAAATATAAAATTGAATTTGGAATAAAGTACAACATGTTGCTTTATTGGATAAACTTTGACTAACAGTATTCATTTTGAATTTTATATAAATACATGAAATTTCAATCTAATTTTTCAAAACAATTTTTCTTGAGGAATATGTCGAAGTGACAAGAAAATGATGTGCACCTAGCAACTAGGGACGTAGGATTAGAGCTATAGCTACAAGATGTGGTTAGGACCACTTATTTTTCATACCTCGTCTCAAAAGGTGTTTCGAAAAATGTCTTATAATAAGCATCAAAGGAGCTGGCCGTGTTGTCTTCTAAACAGTGTCTTCTAGTTGTTATGAATAATACATATAATTATATCTTCATCAGTTTTTTAATATAAAATCTATTTAATTAATTTGATTAAATTAAAAAAGTTATATAAATTAGTTAATTATAAAAAATATGACACGTTTTTCTAAAATATCATAATCATTTTTTTTAATGCTCCCTCTTTTTCTTCTACTTAATTATGGTTGGAAGAGTATGTATCGGGATAATTTAGGAACAAAACCAACTCAACAATTAGGTCCTATATTAAAAGCCGGAGGAGTATATATGTATATATTAAAAGAGGATTTTTTCTTACTGTTTAAAATATTATCAGACACTAAATATAAACACATTTCTTAAATTTTTTTTTACTATTGATCTGTCATGCTGTGATGAGATACTGAAATTATAAAAAAAAGTAGTTAGTTGTTCATGTCAAGAGTATAAAAGGAATACTGCTTTATTTGAATGGGCCTGAAATTCCCAAGTTTGAATCTGGATTGAGGCTTTAGTGATTAGTGGGCCTTGGGCATGTTATTTTTGGATCTACCAAATAAGTGTTTTTCAGAAAATTGCTCGACAATCCCTATTTGCAAAATTTAGTGTCCAGATGTACCCAAGTCTTTGAACAAATACAACACCTCTTCATGTTTGTGCAATATATCGTTACCTAGTAGCTCAAGAAATACTGCACATAAGTAAAGAATAATTGCACATAAGCCCTTGAATCAAATTTTAGGCACATTTGGGCAATAAATTTTACAATGGGCTAATCTTTTCTTTCCCCACCTAAAATATAATTAAAAGAAAAAAGTTCATTTCGGTCAATCATCATCATCATCATCATCATTTATTTTTCATAATTTTTTTTAATGTTTAATGCATGTGTCTAAAATTCTCATCATTTTCCCTTAATTTAGACTTAAGTATTATTATTTTTTGTTGTGTTTTTGTCTACACTTGAGAAAGTAGGGCTGTGATTAGATTTTGGTAATGGTTAGAAAACAATGAATAAAAAAATTAACTGCAGAAAAATTAGATTTTTAAAAAAATAAGGACATGAAAAGAATTTTGTCTCATAAAACATTACATTTTTAAAAAAAAGTAATTATGCTTTTTTTTTTTAACTAAGTATAGATATCTTCCTATTAGAAGCAATCCTATTCAAAGCACTGTGGGCATTAAATGTTGACACCTTTCTAGCGGAGATTCGAATCTTGACTTGTTATGTTGTGAGGAGTTAATCCTTCTTCTTGATCCAATCTTGTTGGTAATTATGCCATTTTGTCCAACAAGCATAGTTTAGGCGATAGCTCCAAAAATGGGTTTTGGGCTTCTAAAATCCCAAACAAGGACTTCTTTTTTTCTGGCGATTTTGAGTCATGGCCCGCGCACTTCCAGAAACACTGATTTAGTTCCCGCAAACGCTCGGTTGCGAGGAACGCCGATCATTAATCGAATCGAGATAACACACTAAGACGATCCCCCGCAGCATTCTCGCCGTTTTCTGCTGTTCGCTGGCCGCCCATCTCAGCTGGTCGAGTTGGACTTCTTGACCGTGAGCCGCGGAGGTAATTTTCGAATCCCCCTCTCCCATCCTGGAAACTCTTCTATTTTCCCCCTATTCCTCGCTACGCTTCTTGTTGTTATCTTGGCTTTTCTATTAAAATGCGTGAACTCTATTCCCCAGTTTTAGTTCCGGGACATGGACGGTATTTAGCTGGCTGCCTTCAATTTTAGAGGGAATATCGGTTTCCTATTTTACTAATTTTCGTTCTTAAACCATTGGTGGTGTTTTTCTAGTTTGTGAATATTAGCTTCTTATTTTGTTCTATAAACTGTTGATTTTGAGTGAATTCTCTGTTAGTATTCTGAATTCAGTGGGAACTTGTTGAATAGCTTAACAATGTCAATGAGAATCCTTTGGTGCAACCTTTATCGAACAAAAAAGGAAAAGAAGGAAGGAAGAAAGCGCTGACGTAGTGATGTATTTAGACTGAGAAATGGTTCAGAAGATGCAGGCATTCTTCCTGCTTCCGTTAGGGTTTTAGAGAGTTTCAGTTTGCCTTCATTTCTTTTCACGTACCAGTGACTACGCGTAGGAGCCCAAGCTAACGCAGTTCTTCAGTTTGTACTTCATTGTTTTCCCACATAATTGACTGCATTCAACACTGCATTCTAATATTCTTTTACTCCATAGTACATCTCCGTGCCTAGAAATAATAATTGATCATGGTATCAACTCATATGGTACACATGTACAATATATCGTTCTTTTATTATCTGTTTCTGTGTTTTTAAATTTGTTTACATTTTGTTACGGTGCATTAAACTAGTTTTATAGGATATCTCATGCTTTTATTTCATTATAAGAGTGTTTCATGTCTTTGGATAAGCTTTGCTTGTCAACATGGCATGATGCCCTGTAGCTGATTGACAAAATGCTTGAGAAAGAAGGGCAACGATTTCTTGTACAGGTACCCTGGCCTTGGGTTTCACAGAGTCACAGACCTCTTGTTGCGTGTTGTACTTCAAGACATTGAGAAATTTTGGCCTAAGAATAGACAATGCTTCATATGAAACCAATTTACCAAGCATGTAAAGCATCCCCTAGCATTGCTATAAGCAAAGTAACTGTTACCCAGCAATATTTGATTGCATGCATTTTTCCTTCACTCGCCTGAAAAACTGAGCTGATGCATTTTACATTTTTTCTTGTATTTCTGTCTTTTCAAAATTTGAAAATTCTTTTAAAGCCAAATTTCACTCAAGTTACATTTTCGTGAGGTGTTCAAAGAGACAGCTGAGGCAACCAAAAGTGATTCTGTTACTTGGTATTGCAATATTATCTTGTAATGTCAGAGTATTTTGTACTTAATTATTATACTGAGCCAAAATCTGAGATTAGACTTAATGAATTCTTTGGTATCTATTCAAATATGATATTTATGTTGCAGGAACTATATAATTGAATCTGGTGCATGACCTTACCCCTGTACAATGGCTGATTCATCATCTGATTCGTCATTTTTTGATCGTATGATCAGCCAGCTTCGTACAACATGCAAGTATGACTTCCTATATCTGGTGCTTAATGAAAACTGTTCTAGCTGCAACTGTCAATGTCTCTTTGTTATAGAGTTGTGGGACTTGACTGACTGACTGTCTTTTATTAATTTTTGCTGCCACAATTTTTTCTGTCTAGTATGTTTCTGTCTCTAATAAGCACCAACTTGTCAATTCTCTTAAACCTTTTCCCCTTGTTACCCCCTTTCTTTGGTGCAATTTAATATTTATTTTCTTGTGTTGATGATAGGTATTATACTGGCTATCCAAAGGACCTTGGACCATCAAGGGTTATTCATTTTACCTCAGAGCGTCAGTTTATCAAGCTCCTTCAGGAAGATTCTCCTGTCGTTGTTGCATTTACTATCAGGTAGAATTAGCCTGATCCCCCATCCAACCCGAATTCGATGTTGACTTTAGGTCCAAAATTGTGAAGAAAATGAGAAAAGAAAAGATTTTGGAATAACCACAAGCTAATTATAATGCAGGGGTAACTACACGAAACATCTTGACAAGGTATTGGAGGAAGCTGCTGCTGAGTTTTATCCAAGTGTTAAATTTATGCGCGTAAGTTGTCATTAACAGCCAACTGTAAGTGTTGAAACTTAAGTCAATGACACAACACTTTATAAAGCATATTATTCACTTCTCTATTGATAGAAACACAAAAACATGTGTAGAAGAGGCATTGATGTAGTTATTAACTTCTGATGACTTGTAATTTTAATTTCAAGGACTTCAGCCTTAAAGTAGAATTAGTCTAGTCAAATCCTCCTCTTTATACCGGTGGCACCTATTTTCCCATTTACTACACTTCTATGTGCAGTCTAGATTTGTATTACTCTTTGCTGAAATGATTATGTTATGCTATTTTCCAGGTTGAGTGTCCAAAATATCCTGGGTTTTGCATAACACGACAGAGAAAGGAGTATCCGTTTATTGAAATATATCACAGCCCGGAGAAGGTACAGTACACCTCACATTGTTTGCTACGATATTCCTGCTCTGTCTCAAAATCTCATGGAAAGAGATCGTAATAGTCTCACAGACGCATTCCATGGCATGATTAACCCGAAAGCATGTTCTATCATGTTCTTGCAATAGGCCAATCTTTGTCGTGATTACCTGTCCATTAAAACCCTTACTGACTTTGCTTTTCCATACAGGCAGCGAACCAGGGAAGGATGGCTGATCCAAATATTATTAAATACAACGTGATGGTCTTACCTGTAAGTTATGGGGCCTGTTTATAAATTATCCCCGCTGTTGACCGCCCTCCATAAAAACCAAATTAGATGTTCTACACTCATATATCTATGCATTTGGAGAAAAAGCAATCCTCCTCTGGTCCTTAATGTAGGATCTAATTAGGGAGTTGGTGTTGGTTTTATATGTAAGGCTTATTTCATATGTTTATAAATTTTTTTTCAAAATAGCCCTATTGATATTCTGCCAACAATAATCAAATAGGAGAGGAAGGGAGGAAATTAATGAAGATGTTTTAGGAAAATCATATCACATTAACTAATTTAACTAATATCCTTGATTTATTCAAATTAGTTAATTATGTCTTAGATTGAGGGCTGGAGTAGTATAGAAGAATATGATTATGTTTGAGGTTCACATTTATAATGTGTTTTCGCCTAATCTCTCTTCAAATACACTCTGCATTTAGTATTGTGGAGGTAGAAGATCTAAGTGTTAGTGTCTGCTTTAAATAACTTAGTGAAAGTTTGCTGGATTTGTTTATATCCGTTGAATACTGATGAGCTGTGTCAAAATTTTCATTTAAATATGCAGTTTAATTACGACCTCAGTGTCTATGGATTTAGAGAGTATTTTAAGCGCCATGGAATACAGGCATCAAGCCCCAAGTAAAGATAATGCGAAAGGTTTGAATTTAACACAACCATTAATTAATGGAATAATATGTGCATACTTGCATATTCTGTGTTTGATCCTGTGAAGGATTTGCCTGCTTTATTTTCTCTTCTGTATTTAGGAATGTAGTAAACTCACGCAAAAGGAAAAAGATATGTTGTAGATTTCTTCGACTATTAACGCTGTAGATGGCTCTTACTTAGAAGAAACATGTTATAAGTGTCACCTTTGATTTTTATGCAGTTTCAAGTATTGGCCAAAAAAAAAAAAATTCTCTTGAATTCTATATAATAATGTTCGGTAGGGAGGGAGCAGGAGGGACTCACGCCTGAACGTTGCATCGCTTGTGGTTTGTGATTTATTATTGATGTTATATTGTATACTGATGGCTTTCGTATATTGTCTCATTGAACACAATCTTTACCTATGTCTTAAATACTCGTCACACCCAACAAAAACCCACAGCATAAATTCCGAAATTTTGCAGCTCAGTTTTAAAATTTTTTGGGGGTTATTTTAAAGAATTTATGTTGCCCAGCATATTACCGCATATGATAGTCGGATGATAGGTTCATTAATTAGAGTTTAAAATCTGCATTCTGAAGAATAAATCTCCCTCGTTTTTTCCTTTTTCTTTTTGAAAAAGAAAAAATATTCGATCTCTGAAGTTTCACTGAACTTGTAATGTAGTCCTTGTGCTTTGACTCATCATGGTTCACTTCTAATACCTTTCTTTTGCCCCCTTATCTCCATCCGTTCCTATGTTTCTGAGACCAGGAGAAGTCCCTTATTACCTGTGCTATGTGATAGTGATAACAATTAACAGTGTATTTTCCCATTAGGTAGGGTTTAAGGAGGGATAGATGTACGCAGCCTTGTTCTTATAAACAAAGAGGCGGTTTCTGGGGATTTAAACTTCCAACTTTCAGATCATTTGACAGCAACCATTATTGTTGCTTCAAGACTCATTTGCATAAGTCCCACATCTGAATAAATAAATTGAGATTATTTTTTCTTGTTGGTTTGTAAGAGCGGGTTTCATTGAAAACTGTGTTGATGAAAATTTCCTTATCATTGAATAGGATCCAACAGCTTGTTACGCACATGCAAATAAAATAGAGAAAATAATTAAAAAAATACTTATTGAATTTTAAAATGATAAATAGGTGATTCTGATATATTTTCACATGTCAAAGCTTCATTATAAGAATAGTCGTCAATTATTTTGTCATTTTTTTTTCAAATAATAAAATATGGACTCTGGTATGGAGCAATTCATTTCAATTTGGGAGGAGACTGCACGTGACATTATAGACCCCTCTAGCTATCTCTTGTCAATATATTAATGGCTGCCCCAAAGCTAAATGCCATTAACTTGAGGAAAGGGCAACAAAGCCAGTTGTTAGCAACCTTTATTGTGAATCCCGTGACCCCCAAAAGAAAAAAAAACTACTCTTTCAATTCTTAATCCGAGAGTCAATTCATTTAAATAAGTTTAAAAATTTTAATATATTATTTAATTCTAATAAATATGATCTAATTTTCTTAAAATATCACTATATAACATTAGATTATGGGGCTTTGTAAGTTAGATAATTAGTGTGAAAAATGATAATAACAAAGAAAATTTGAATCAAATTCTTACATTTAGGATTAAAATTAATTCCTTAATTATCTATTACATTTGAGTAAGCAAACTTAAGGCACAAAATTACATGGAGAGAATATATTAAAATTAAATGAAACCAGGGGAATGAAGCAAAACATGATGCAAAATTAAAAAAAACAATTTTTTTTTTACTTTTTATTAAGAAAGTGATAACTTGTCATGCTGCTGCGTTTGGAATAATCATTTTTAATTATGAAAAAAACAGAAATAATACTTTTTAGTTTATCTTAAAAGAAGTTCTATCTTTTGAATATATGGCCGACAAAGCAGAAATAGAAAAGACATTTTGATTCCTTATATTTGAATAGAAAAATGTGAATATTCCTTCCATTTTCAGTCCCACTCCTTTTCTTAATAATAAAATGATTCTTTTGTCAGTTAGTGGGCCTAACATGACTGTCCACTTCATCTAATTCCTTAAATTGAACAAAAGAAATTCTGACTATGATTGATTTCTATTTCAGAAAAATGATTTAAAATATGATTTACATATGACATGAATAACCTATTAAAAATATCAATCTTGGTGAAAAATTACTGGCTGCCGTCCTTAATATAAAAACTAGTTAACTAATTTGATTAGATTATGAAAATTAATTAAATTAGTTATTTGTAATAAATAAGTGTTGTTTTTTCTAAAATATTTTTGCTAATTATGTGTATTAGTTAGAACTACTGCTTGATAGAACCTTTAACATGTACGACTACTATAAGAACTACTTTATTAAAAAAATATAAGAGACAAAATATATTAGGGTATTATATTTAAAACTAAATTGAAAGTCATATACTTACACTAACTTCTATAATAAGGAACGAGGTAGTACATTTTTATTATGTTATTACTCTTCCGTTTTCAAACAACAGCCATTTTTTAAAATTTTGACTTTGTTTTCAAACTTTTGTCCTTTAGAATTTCAATGACGCATCATCTATTTTTCGAATAAAATAATAGTACCTTGTTAGCATAATATTAATGTATTTCATTAAGAGAAACATACCCTAATGTTATTTTTTAGTAGTACTCAACACTTTAATTTTATTTATAGTATATCCAATATCTTGATGCTATCTGTCTGTTACATTTAACATCTTAATCTTATTCATGACTTGGGTGCTAAATGTATTGTAAATAATTTTAGAGTGCTAGAAGTATCAAAAAAATCACATGAGATTTTGGATGTACCATAAATGAGATTAAAGTGCTAGATGTTATTTAAAAATAATATTAGGATGTTGAATGTTACTTTACCTAGATATTATTGTATTTACTATAGTATTTCATTAATATTATTAAAAAAATAGTTAAGTCAAATTCTTTATATTTATTATACTAAATTCTCAAATTTTACATATTCTTATTTTTAGTGCTATCTATGATTTTTTTTTAACCCCAGTGCCAAATGCATAGACGGCCAAAAAAAAAATCCAAATGCATGACACCAAAATAATTATTGATTCAATTTTTAAAGAAAAATTATAACATACTCCTCCGATCCTTAATATAGGACCCAATTCATGAGTTGATTTTGGTCCTAAATATAAGACCCATTTCTTATATTTATCAATTTTCTTTAAAGTACCCTTATGAATACTCCCTCAACCATAATCAAGTAGAAGAGGAAGAGGAGGTATTAAGAAAGATGATTATGGTGTTTTAGGAAAAATGTGTAACTTTTCTTATAATTAACTAACTTACCTAACTTCCTTAATCTAATCAAATTAGTTAAATGGGTCTTATATTAAGGACCGGAGGAGTATCATTTTTTTAATCAAAGAAGTTTGTGCCCACACAATGAACCCATGTGCTTAGCTAAGAAAAAGAAAAAGGATACATTCCATTTTTGTTATCGGGCTAACATCCATCTATTCAAAAAGTGATTGAAGATAAAAGAAAAAGTGCACGATTCATTTTGGAGCATCATTTCACGATTTCTGTTTATGGAAGAGACAAATTATGACGTGGAGCACTTGCATATTGCCTATCCTGTCCTCTTTTTTTTTTTTTTCTTTTAAATTTTTTATGCAATTAAGATTATTTCAAGATTCTTCTGGCTAGAATGAGAGTTAAATTAAGCTGGTTTGTGCCAAAATAACAACAACAATACTAACAACAACATTCAGCCATAAATGACTAAAGAGGTGTTTGGCAACCCTCAAAAGTCCTTTTTAGAAGCACTTTTCCGCAAAACAAGACAAACTCCTCCACATATTGACTTCGTAAACCGTAAAAGCACTTTTAAAACTATGGTTTGGTTTCCATCCAAACACATCCTAATATTCTCTTTTGGAGGTTTGTGATGGGGACAAATATTTTTAAATTGTATTCTATTATTTTTACTTTTTTAATTGAAATCACTAGTTTTTTTAATTAATAGTTGAGAAATTGGGGGGAAAAAAGAACTGACATAATTTTATTGAATGACAAATGTAAGTTGAAAATTGTTAAAGAATTATTAATTTATATTCTTGTATGCATATAGTTGTTGTTTCTCAAAGTTTTAATTTTGGTGATGTGGATAAGTTTTGATACTTTAGGATGTGCATATGTGAATAAGAATGAAATATACGTCTAGATAGAGAGTTTTACCTTTATAGTTTAAAATTCAAATTCTGATAACTTTTCATATTTAAGATAATATAAATTAAGTCACATTTTCATATTACTTCCGGTTTTAATTATAAAATATCATTTGCAGTTTATAGACGAAGTCTTATAAATAAAATAGAAGGAATATATTGATCATTTTTGGTAAGCTTCTCCTTAGCACTTTTTTTTCTTCTCTCTCTCTTTCTTGTCAATGAATTTGCTGTGTAAATATCAAGGGAGTCCCAAATCCTTCAGGTGCGTCCCAAATTCTTCAGGAGGAAACCATCTTGTCCTCATGTTTTTATAATATTAAATGAATCATTAATTTTATGTTTAAACAAAATTCAGATTCATTTACTTATATCCGTTTTAACTAATTTTTTAGTTAAATCTCAACATTTGATTTGGAGGTTGGTTGTAATCGACATAAATTAATGAATTTAAGTTTCTTACTTTATGTTTGATTCAAAATTCTTTTACTATCATCGATTTCCTTTTCTTACATACCCCATGTTAAGGGTGTTTAAGGCTGACCTGTCCTGGTCAGCCCGTCCCGGTCCCGGCCTTATTGGGACGGGACGAATATGTCTGGAAATTTTTCGGGACGGGACAAACCGGGACGGGACGGGACATGAGACGGGGTCGTCCGTCCCGGTTCCTTTTTTTTTTTAAATTTTTTATCCTATTATATAATATTTTTTTTATATTTTTTTAAAGATTTGAGACTATTGTATGGAACTATAGATATATTTATTTAGAGTTTTTATATTTGTTGATGATTTGAGATTATTGATGATTAGAAATTTTAACAAGTTTTTATTGTGTTAAAAGCTTTTGTTTAGAGTGTTTAATGATTATTATATGTAATATTTTGAGTTTTTGTTGAAGAGTGTCCAAACAAATAAAAAAGAAAATAAAAAGATGTTTTTATAAGGCTTAAGCCCAAAAAACTATAATTAAAAAAATCAGATTTTATTAAAAAATTAAAAAAATTTAAAAAAATAAAAAAAATATCGTAACGTCCCGGTCCCGTCCCGAATCCGTCCAGTCCCAATCGAGACTGGAATAGCACCGGGACGGACAAGAATACGAGACAGATTTTCTGTCCCGTTACTGTTTATTGGGACGGAACAGTCCTACCCCATGTAAGATGTGTTTAATTTAGAGACTTCACTTTTGGTACAATTAATAATAATAATAATTCTTGTGAAGAATTCTATTATAAATAGGTTAAGCTACATATAATTTTTTTTCCTCTAAATGTATATCTTTTTTTTTTGTCTAAATAAACTTTATGACTATCTTGAACTTTAAAAGTTTAAAATTAACACCCTATTTAAGTTTGAATTGTTATAAATTTTATATTTTAAGGGCTTTACTAATTTATATGTAATATTTGACTTATTAATCAAAGGTCTGTGATGGAAGATTGCATTGTGAACAGTTTGTTTATAAATTATTGAGACCTAATTTGTTGTTAACCGTAATCTTACTTATGATGAGTTGAAGAATATTTGATCACAAAAGAACATCTTGATTAGGTAAAGAATTTTATATTAGTTTGGTTCGATTTTCTTTTTAGCCATTAGTTTGGCTTGATTGCTCATTAAGTTATTTTATCTCTCTAATCTCGTTGATTTTCTTCTTCTTGTTTTTTTTTGGCCAACAATGCCATTGATTTTCAAATACATGAAGTTAGGTCAAATAAAATTATTGAGAAGACAAAATTCAATTCGTGCTTGTGTTTTTTATTGACAAAATTCAACTTTAAGATTTTATGGAAGAAAATCAAAATTTTATATCTCTCATATTAATATATATACTTCTCTTGCCCTATTTATAAGTTAGTTCCAAATATTTTATATAGATCAAGAAAAACATTAAACATCATCAGCTCTTATTTAAAATTCCATAACTTTTTAATTTTAATTTTATTTACTTTACATTATATCCGATAAAAATAAAATCAACATAATAACAAATAAAGGATGAAATTATATATCTATATAAAAAATTTTCTCTTACTTTCTTATAAATAAGATAAAAAAATACTCCATCCGTTCCTTAATATAAGAGACATTTGATGGTTATGGCATGTTCCTATACATAAGAGACACTTAGAAGTTATCTCTATTTTTTTGTGTTGATTTCCTATTTTACCTATATTTATTGTCTTCAACTCATACTCTCTTTCCTTCCCACTTCTCTTTTTTTGAATAATTTACTATTGTTCTCTCTCATGCTCTCTTTCCTTATTAATGAGGGCCTTTTTGGAAAAAAAATTATACCTTTTACACATTGATTATTCTTAACTAATTTTAACTATTTTTTTGATCAACATAATTCGGTTATTTGTCTCTTATAATAAGAAACGGAGGGAGTATATTTTTTCTCTGTCTTATATATAGGAGTAGAGGAGTATTTGATTAATATTTAATGCAACATTTAAAGTGGCACCCAAAAACTGTTTACAAGACAATACGTTGGTACAAAAGGAATGTTCAATCAATACGTGAACCAATAAGCTTAATTGTACTTAAGGGGTGTTTGGACTAGTAAAAATCATAAATCAAAGTAAACTTTTCCACATGCCAGTCTATTTTTTTATTATAAGTCACTTGTATTCTAAACCCGCAAATCAAGAAATATATTAAATTAACCATTTTTTCCCATATTTATCCTTATTAAAAGTTGAGAGAGAGAGAAAGAGGGAAGGGGTAGATTGCATAAGAAATGAAAAGTTAAGAGAGAGATGGAGAGAGATTAATTAATTTTTTTATTAAATTAATAGGGGTAAAATTAGAAAAAGATCGTTAATTATACTACAAGTGACTTATATTTTGAAACAAACTTTTGAGGTACAAGTAATCTATAATAAGAAATATAATGGTATTTATTTCTTATATCGTAAAAATATTTTTAAACTGATGATTTTATTTTTATCTAAATATTTTTTTATAATGTGAGATTGATCTTGAATACCTGGTCAGGTCCGACGTTGTTTTAAGGAAGAACCTGATGTTACTTGGCTTATGGTATGCACGAATGTATTATTTTATACGAGTACTATCATTTTGTTAAAATAAAGATGAGATTTATACAGAGTACTTATGTCATTGTATCATGGGGCCGCAGCATACTGACATTGGCATTTTTAAAATGAAAAAATCCAAAGTACACACATCCAATAAAGTGGTTTCAGATTCAGATGGACAAAAAAATTACTTGGTCTGTGCAGATCAAAAATAGATAAAATAAAAAAATAGTTAGGCTAACTTTTATAAAGTGTGGTACTATAAACAGAGGCCAGGGGCCACACCTACGAAGGAGCAATTTGCGTCGCATTGGATCGCCTTTTTCTTGTGCCCAATAAGTTATGATAAAGACAAATTGGATGTGTCTGCGTCAATGACCGGGATTTGCGTCCATTACCAATCCGATTCAGCAAAGCTTGAATCTTTCTCTCTCTTTCTCGGTTCGGTGGTCACCCCGTCATCGACTTCATGCGCACCAAAGTGCGCTCTCTCTTACCGCCATTTCTCTTGTATGTAAGGGAAATATACACACGCGTATATACATATATTATCATATTCAATTCTCGAGTCAAATAGTCGGACAGACTTTTGGCGACGACCCTTCTGTTCAATTCAAACCTCCGCGTTTTCTAGTCGTTACTACAGGCAGCATCTGTCAGAGTTTCAAATCTTCGCCAAAGTCTTGTACTTTTTGTGTCACTCGTTTCTGGCTTGCCCTTCTTTAGCCGGCATTTGGTTTATTTTGCATCTCTTTGAGCTTTCCCCGTCTGGGTTTCTTTAAATGGAGTAGAAGATCAGATCTGTTTGCGTGAATCTTAATTCTGATTAGGTATGGGGTTTTCTTTGTATCTGGGTTTCTGTTTCTAGTTTTCGCCCCTTATGCTTATGCCTGAATTTGACTTTAATCTTACTGTTTTTCTTGTTCCCCTTGAAGCTTTTGGTTTGGGGTATAATTGAATAATTGTGCTCGTTTTTGTTGTTCTTACTTTGATGCAGAGATTTCTTGTGGAGCATCAATTGGATGAATACATAAAAGAATGTGTGGTATCTGTAGATGATGTTTTTGAACTGATGTTACTGGGGGGCGAATGGGATTTTAGTTTCAACAAGGTGTTGTAGATTGCAGAATTGGGTTGAGTCGACTTTTATATATTCATAAGTCGTGTGCGAAGAACCAAATATTTTAAAAATGATAGTGAAGAAAAACATGGGACGTGCAAAGTCAGCACTAATGCTGATTATGGCGCTTGGGTTCTTCTTTGCCACTTATAATTTGCTATCTATGATTATGCACAACAAAGAATCGAATTCTGGAAGTTGGGTGGCTGATGGGTTGGAATTGTTTGATCCTGTTTTAAGGATGCCTGGAAGGGTGATTGGATCAGCGGAATCCAATTCAAAATTTCATGTTGCCTTGACTGCAACTGATGCTGCTTACAGCCAATGGCAATGTCGGATTATGTACTACTGGTATAAGAAGGTAAAGGATATGCCTGGATCAGACATGGGAAAGTTCACACGAATTTTGCATTCAGGCAGGGAAGATCAATTGATGGATGAGATTCCAACTTTTGTGGTTGATCCACTTCCTGAGGGCTTGGATCGGGTAAGGAATTTTTGCTTCTGTTGTGTGAATTCAGTATGTTTTCAGCCATTACTATTTAGTCCAATCAAATTGTTAAGTACAGTACCTGGAATTGGGAAACAGTTGGTGTCTTGACATATAGAATGGTTTCACTAGGGAAAGAATCTCAAAAAGGCAAAGCAAAAGTTCTGATAATTGAATATGGTCAGGATGGCCAAATCATTTACAGAGTCTCATCCTTCCAATCTACAAACCTAGTGATCAAGTCTTTTTTGGTACATATTGGGGAAAGGAATAGAAAGAGAAAGGGGATGATAACAAGTAGTTTGTTTTTTTGGCTATAGGATGATAAAAGTAGTTTTGAAACTGAGAAACGACACTCATATTCCTCTTTTTTCTACGGTGAAAATTTTCAGTTGCTGTCCCAAATCAATGATGGGTTCTATTTGCTGTCTAAATTAAATGTGCATTCGAATTGTACCGAACCTTTTGTTTGTTCTCTTGTTCCGTTCCCTAAAAGTCACAGAATAAGACATCTATAATGATAGCAAGGACATGATGAACATTGTAAAAAACATTTCAACTACCTCCACCTCCACCTCCACCTCCAACTTACCATGCCAAACAGGCCTAAAAATTGATAGCTATCTTCACATCACTGAGAGAGTTTGAATCTGGTAGTTTTGTTATAATAACTTCTTCATCTCTTAAAAATTATTAAAAATTATAGCGCTCATCATTTCATCCTCCAAATTGAAGTGCTCAATGTAGGGGCCACATTGGAATTTTAAACTGAATACCTTTCCACTTTTTATTTCCATTTCATTAACTATTTAAAGGGTGGAAGGTATGCTAATTCCTTCATATTCTATCCCATTTATTCTCTTTCCTTTCCATACTGGGTGAGATGACGTTTCTGTACCAACTTAACAATGCATTCTTGAGTCAGAAGTTTTGGTTGGATCCCATGATTTTACACATCTTGGTGGTGAATTTGTTGGCATGAGTGCCAGTCTGCTGATACTTGTTAGCTTTATCACACACTCCTTTGCTTGTGATTACTTTCTTTCATCCTCCCTATTTATTTTATCAAAACTTAAGCCTGTTCTTGGTGCAGGGTTATATTGTCCTAAATAGACCATGGGCTTTTGTTCAATGGCTGGAAAAAGCAACTATTGAGGAAGAGTGAGTTTATTTTGGTTTTCCATATTTCTATACTTCTAAGAACGAAGTCTGACAGCAATACAATTTTTTTTCTTTTTTTGCCATCGCAATATAATTTGTGATTTCTTGTGCAGATATATTTTAATGGCAGAGCCTGACCACCTATTCTTAAGACCATTGCCTAATTTGGCTTATGGAACCAAACCAGCAGGTTATCCATTCTTCTACATAAAACCAGCTGAAAACAAAAAAATAATTAGGAAATTCTATCCTGAGGAGAAGGGTCCTGTTACTGATGTTGATCCCATCGGCAATTCTCCCGTAATCATTCATAAGGTGAACTCACCTACAGCTCACATGAGTTGCCTGATTGATTACTATCTAGATGTTTCTGGAAAAGCTGGACCAAAAAAAAAAAAAAACAGTAATTAGCACTTTTAGAGGAGAAACTTACAAATTATACAGGGAAACAGTTTAGTGGTCTTACTTTAACTTGCTTTATAGTTACTACTATCACAATACAGCTAATATTTATTTACCAATTTATGCTAAAGCAAAATAGTTTCATCTTAAGGCACTGATCCTTCTTTATCATGAACGTTAGTCGTTGCTTGAGGACATTGCTCCTACATGGGTGAATGTTTCCTTGCGAATGAAAGATGACCCGGAGACTGATAAGGCCTTTGGATGGGTGCTTGAAATGTGAGTAGTTGTCAAGAAACACTGGAGCATTTTTTTGCTTAGCATATATTTGTAATTGATCTTCATTTCATATTGAAAATAATCATGGCCAGTTGGCCACTGACCATATCTGAAACTTTGACACATGAAGGTATGCATATGCTGTGGCATCTGCATTGCATAATGTGCGGCATATTCTCCGAAAAGACTTTATGCTGCAGGTGCGTATCACACGAGTTCTGTCAAACATTGATTTTTCTCTTCCTGTATCTTTCCTATGCTAGAGATTATTTTGTTACTCAAAGTAGCAAACCAGTTATCAACACGTGTCTTTGTACTGTTTCAGCCACCTTGGGACTTAGATACTGAAAAGAAGTTTATACTCCATTATACATATGGATGTGACTACAATCTAAAAGTAAGCTGATCCTTCCTCCCTCTTTTCTATATTATGCTAAACTACACTAAAGTTATTCTTAAGATTCTCTTTTCTCACATTTGTCCATTTTAAAAGTCGTAGTCTTGCTTGCTTACTGGTTAGTGCTTAAGCTATGTATTTCCCGTAATTTCTCCATCCAGGGCGAGCTAACATATGGAAAGATTGGAGAATGGCGTTTTGACAAGAGATCATATCTTATGGGTCCTCCACCGAAAAACCTTTCCTTACCTCCACCCGGGGTTCCTGAAAGTGTGGTAAGTTGTTCAATTTTCTAATTGGCTTTTTCATAAATGATTAATCAAATCCATATTGATCAGGAGTTGAGATTAGTGGAATTTGCCCTTTTCGGATCATTCCAAAATTGTATCTCTCCTTAATATTGATGTCTCTAAAATGGTGTCAACTTCTTATGAAGGCCAAGTGACAGGAGGCTTTTAATCACAGAAATAAACGTATCCACTAGTGTTAACTAACCTTTGTCCTCCCCATTGACGTTGGCAATTGGTATTCACTATATTCTTGTTAACATCTTTGATCTGTCGCCATAGTTCTGAAAATCAGCGCGGCTTGTTTTGTGACTCTGTTGACTTTCAATATCCAAACTGTACATAGATATGCTAGAAAACTCAGGTTTTTAGCCATATGGGGATGCGGGAAAGTCTGATGAGTAGCAAGCCAGATTTACATGTTGACATTTGATTCGCAACCAAAGATTCTTACACCAATTAAGTCTCTTTTTTCTATCCAACAGCCAAAAGTTGTAGGTTCTTGTTTGATTATTTATGTAGAATTCTATGTTTCAAATGCTGATTGGTGAATAAACAGTTAACTATGGAACATTCATCTAGCACTGTGCTGATGATTTTTGTGATTGGCTTATTGCTTTGGTTTCGGCAGTTACTAGATACTGTGCTGGTGATTTGCAGGTGAGACTTGTAAAGATGGTCAATGAGGCTACTGCTAACATACCTAAATGGGAAACATTGAACAGAAGCTGATCAAAAGGATTTTTTTTTTTTTAAAAAAAGAAAAGGACCATTGGGTTTTATTTGTGTTACTGATGCAGAGTGACTGCAATATGAGAAGTACCAAAGTACCAAACCCTAGATACATGTGATGAGGATGATGATATAAGAGATTAGTTTTAGCAGAGGGGGAAATGTGATAGATACAAAGAATGCTTTGGTACTTTTTGCTCTGCAAATAGAGTTTTGTTAACCACTTGCTTCATTGCTTCTCAGGTTGTAAAAAACACTCACATCTTATTACACAGTTTTTTTTCCCCCTGCCTATGCTCAGGTCTGAATTTAACCAAAAAAAAAAATAAGCATAACACTTCTTAGATAGACTCAATTTATATATAAAAAAATCAAGACAAAAAAGAAGAAACTAACTACAAATAGGTATTTAAGCATGTAAAATGTTCTTTAAGACCTATGATATTCTTACCATTCTCAATCTTTCTTTTGTAAATCAATAGCACACAACTTCCATGGTTGACAAGGTAAAACAATAGATGTAGAATTTAAAAAAAGAAGGGAATCCTCCTATGGATTGTTCTTATAAAATCGCGTATTTACATATCCATAGAAAAGAAATTTGGGACTGTAAAATTCATTAATGTCTAGTTGTCCTAGTGGTAATATTATCATGTTTGGATCAGATTTGAGGTTTGAATCCAACATTGACATGTTTGTGTGTATATGTACTTGATTGTATTATATTAAAACAAGTATTTAGTTTGTCATGTTAGGGGTTAACCCTTTCTACTAGCTTCAATTCTTATTGATATTAACTAAATACTTATAAATTGGAATACTGTATTCTTGAGAATAAAATTTCTCAAAATCAATTTTTAACCCAAAAAAGGAACTTTGGGACAAAAGAATTACTACGCTAAGAATTGATTTAGCAAGTAGCAACATACAGTCTCTTTGCAAATATTTCTTGTGACATATTCACAAGATTCTCTGGAACCAGCCATAATTTTATTATGATATTTTTGAACAATTTATATAATTAAATCTAACAAACGTGAATAATTATTTGGAAAACGTGCACATATGATTAACTAAACAACTATAAACACCAAAAAATACTATATTCTTGAGGATAAATTTTCTCATAATGAATTTTGTAGTAATAATATTTGAATTTTCCAAACAAATTATCTTGCAAAAGCGGATAAAGATTGTTTGTTTTTAAGTGCCCAAACGAGATTGTTCACTTACTTTGAAACAAAAAATCTTGAAATTCGGGAAAATTTTAATTATTGCATCCCAAATGGCCAAATATGAACAATGATTGTTAAATAAACGGGCTTTGGTTATATGCTTGTTTAAAGAACGACTATCGGTTTATAATTTCATTATTAGGCTATATATATGGTCTTTTTCAGTTTTGCCACAACAATATAAATGGCTCTCTGTGTAAATGGGATTTCACCACCACCTTATATTATTCTACTTGAGAGAGAGAGAGAGAGAGAGAGAGAGAGAGAGAGAGAGGAAAAGCCTATAAATAATTCAAAGAAGAATTAAATATGGACACGAATTTGAGTATTATTTATATTTCTACTTTATTTTTACTGCTAGCATCTTCAATTATAGCTCAACCTGTGGTTTTTGATATAACAAAATATGGAGGAGCGCCTAATGGAGACCTGACCTCGGTGAGCATTTATCTTTTGGATTCCTAGTTTGAATGTTTAGAGTGACCAAAAAAAATTCGGGACAAAAGAATTAGTATGTCTCAAATTAATTTTGCAACTATTTTCCCTTTAGAAATATTTCTTTTGTGACAAATTCACAAAAATTTCCTTGAAAAACTTGTATGACAAATTTTGTAATTGATTTTTTTTAATGAAAAACAAGTTTTGCCATGAATTCTTTGTTTAGTTGTTATCACATGTTAAGTATATTTGTACAAAAAACTTTTATTGAAATACCCTTGGCCTGTTGATTGATGTTGATAAGAGCTTGGAGAGAGCATGGAAAGAAGCATGTGCATCAACAAGTGCAAGCAAAGTTTTGGTGCCAAAAAATTCATACAATTTAAGACAAATAGAGCTCAACGGCCCTTGTAAAGCTCCAATTGAGCTTCACATTGAAGGTAACATTGCAGCACCAGAAAACCCTAATCAGTTTGATGGAGATGCTCAGTGGGTTAGATTTGGATACATTGATTCTTTTACTTTATCCGGCGGAGCCACTTTTGATGGTAAAGGTTCAATGGCTTGGAGGCAAAATAATTGTCATCAAACTTGGAATTGCAAAAAGCTCTCCATGGTAATTAATAAATCATACACAATTATAAAACTTATCTGTTGAATTCCTTATATCATCGTTTTCTTCAATTTCTAATTGAGATATAACAAATATATAGCTACTAAATAATAATAAAAGAGTATATGTTTCAACATCAAAAATCACATAATGAGCAAATTTTCTCATAATGGTGAAAAAAAAAGGTTTGAGAGAAACATAAGAAAAATTAGATTGATTTGTGTTCACTCTGTTATGCCTAACCCCTTTTCCTCTTTTTGATTTAGCCTCTTCTAATAATGAAAAAAAATTATATTAATGGTGTAGGAATTCTTTTAAAAGCCTAACAATTTTTTTTGAAATGTCTTTCAGAATTTTGGTTTCAGCTTCATGAACAATTCAATCATACAGCATATAACATCAAAACACAGCAAAAACTTTCACGTAAATGTTCTAAGCTGCCGAAATATTACATTCAGCAAATTCATCATTGAAGCCCCAGCAGAAAGTCCAAATACAGACGGAATCCATATCGGAAGATCAACACAAGTGAAAATACTTGACTCAGTTATTAGGACAGGAGATGATTGTATCTCATTGGGTGATGGAAGTAGACAAGTTAGTATTGAGAATGTGACATGCGGACCTGGCCATGGCATTAGCGTTGGAAGCCTTGGAAAATATGAAAATGAAGAACTTGTGGAAGGTTTGATAGTGAAGAATTGCACTTTCATAGATACTGATAATGGTGTGAGGATCAAGACATGGCCTGGTACTTCGATTAAAATCCCAGTCTCTCAACTGCGTTTTGAGAATCTTGTCATGATTAATGTTACAAATCCTATAATCATAGACCAAGAATATTGTCCGTGGAACCAATGTTCAAAGCAGGTATTTGGTTGTCTCTCCCTCTCTCCCCTCTCAAAATACATGCATATTTGTACATGTATAAAATAGTAAACAATATGAAATTAAATTAACTCTTTAACAAGCATTTTAAGATGCATCCGTGCATTCGAAAAGCTTTGAAGTTTATCAAATGAAAAATTGCATCCATGATGCAAATGTTGGAATAACAAGATGAGGATATGCATATAATTTGGATAGTTCTTTTTCTGTTTTAACATATTTTCTTAGTTTCCCTACATATTTCTAATTACTTTCTTTTCACTTTGTATTTCCTTTTTTATTTTGAGCTGCTACAACAGACCCCGTCAAAAGTACAAATAAGTAGAGTTTCCTTCAAGAACATCAGAGGCACATCAACAACAAAGGAAGGAATGATTCTAATTTGCAGTAGTAGTGTACCATGTGAGAAGGTAAAACTCACAAATATTGATCTCAAATTTAATGGGACTCCTACAATTGCCACTTGTAAGAACATCAAGCCCCAAGTCTTTGGAAAAGTACCAACTTGTACTCCTTAGCATGTATTTTTTACTCATACATTAAATAAAAAAAATCAGTTATAATTTGTAGTTTGATTGTCGGTTTTTATTTGGTATTTTCTGGTTCAAAAATTATAAACATGATAGGCGATTTCTAGTCTTTACCAAAATATCGCCAAACAGATTATTTGGCGCAAGGGGAATACACAAGTGCTTCCCCAAATGTCACAGACAACAAGTCTAGTCTTGCTTTTCTTCATTCTCTGGCTTGAAACCTCACAGAAATTAGAAATAAATCCATTCAATCACTTCCACCTGCTTCAAAGAAGTTCCACCAAACAGCAAAAGGTCATAAGCAAAAGCTTGAGCTTGAAAGAGAGAGTTCACTACTACAAAATAATGCTTCTACCTAAAGAGATTGAAGGCAGAAGTAAATAAGAAGAGCCTTTTAAATTGGTGGACTAATTTGATAGGTTTTCATCGTTTCCCACGGACTTCATTTTCAATAGGGTGACCCAGTTTTTTCACCCAAGGAGTGAAGATATACAGAGAAATTGGGTATCCTTATCTGAATTTTCTAGACGATTTAAACGCTCAGGTAAGTTCACTATTCCATAAAATCTTCATCTGAAGCTATCATTGTAGTTGTATTTGCCTCTTTAATTATATTTCATGAAATGTGTTGATTAGAGCTTCAAGAAAACACGGAAAAAAGCATGTTTATCAACGGGTGCAAGCACAATTTAGATGCAGAAGCTCCATGACTTGTACTTAGATACGTTGATTCCTTTACCTTGTACATTGTGATATCACTTCTAATGTTTATAGCTTCTCTAAATTTCTGATTAGAAGACGAGAAGTTTACAATTATTAAATAATAATATACGAATATACACTTTGGTTCTAAAATCACATGACGAATGGATTTTACGGCAAAAGGGAGGTAAAAGTGGGGAGTTACAATGACTCGCATGGACTCCACTGGATCTCCATCTCCCTTCTCACCCTTTCTTGTTCTGTGACGACCAAAAACCCTTTACTCGTTGATGTACCCATTCCTTTAATGAATAAATTTTGCTTATTTTCACAGAACATATTATAAGTTTGATTTATTTTTTTTATCCTTTCCCAGAATTTCCGTTTCTGCTTCAAAAACAACGAAACAATCCGAGACATTGCATCAAAAAACAAACATTTTCATGTAAATGTTTTCGGGGGCAAAATATTACATTCAGCAAACTCTCTATTAAGGCTCCGGCACACAATATTATAAGTTTGTACTGCCCCTGAATAACAAAGGGGGGAAAAATTACGTGTTCAACTCAGTTAAATGACTAATGCCTCAAGTTCAAAGTTCAAAATTCAAATGTTGGCCAAAAAAAGAGTTCAAAATTAAAATATGTCAGGGTTCAATCCAAGACCAAACAGTTGGCTGAAGCTGCTCACCATATCCTTAGGAAAATAAGGCATTCATATATGCTAATTTCAGAAGACAAATCAATCAAGGAAAAAGAATTCCCACTTGCAATGATTGCACACCAACATGCTTAAGTAATAGATATGGTCTACCGAAAGTGGATAGACTCGAGTATGCAAAACTTTTCCTTCGCCAGCATCCACAAGAAATCACTAGGAAAAATAAAGAAAACAAGTCTTAATAATGCAAATATGTCATTTATATTCATAAGGACCAAGATGGAGATAAATCCACCACCCACCATCCACTAGGGATTTATTCATTGGAAGTTCGAGTTGAAATCAAACCCGACTTAGAAAAAAGAGAAAAAAGCGTGTCATGTTCCCCATTGTCATGCACAATTAACGCACTATATAAGGACCTTAACAAAGACGCAACCACTCACGTGTGCCCCACAATGTCATTGTTATCACATACCGTGACCAAACTTCTGACACCCACTTCGTACCTAGCAACCTTCCCAACAATAAGCCTGATGTATTGCGGCAGAATAAAGGGCTAGCACCCTCTTTCAACAGCAGCCGGTTGATGGTAACAATGATTCTTATAGATGTGCCATTATGACACCTCCATCAGAGCAGTGAACAAACCATTGTCATGACATCAACAATCCCCTGAAGATACAAGCCCCAAGACGACTGGATATATTCTTTTACTTAACACCTATCCACCCCAATCAGATAAGGAATTTACTTCTTAAGAACGTTGAACTGTAAATGATGCTTGCATATCTTCCTTCCAATGGCCTGGAAAGCTCAGCAAAATCTGCAGTTGAGTGAAATTTGTTCACCGGAAGGAAATTAGGCAGAAAACACAGAACAAGAAACAATACTGGAACTGAGATTGTTTAAAAAGTTGATGAAGGCATCTAGGCCAAAATAACAGCTGTACTATGCAAAAAGAAGCTTAGTTTCTTAAATCCTTGCTATCGAGTTACAATCAAAACATAAGATATGTGGTTTTTAATTACTATATATAAGAAATTGCATCTAAGTCTTAATCCTTAGACATAGCCACCCCATATCAATTCTTTCAAGAGCACGAAACAAAGCTTACAAGATGCAGGTTTCAGATTTTCAAATTATACCATGCCAATGCCTTTTGAAGACATTTAAATTACACAGATCAACTACAAAAATTAAAAGAAACAACAATAATAATAAACGGTATTCACCTTTCTTAGTAGCAAGTGCCCGCAACAAGTCAAGGCCAAAATAACTCCAACATTCAATGACAAGGCAATAGAGTTGGAGTTTGAATGCGTAGCAAAGGGATGCAGCACATTCACCATAATCCTTCAGGAACCCAATGGATAGAATTGTTAGAGAAAAAGTCAAGCAGAATAATCAAATTATTAGAGTCAAAAATCCAAAATAGAAGCTTACCATCTATAATCTCATAGCAACATCACACAAAATAGCGACCTGTCCAGATTGACTGTCCGTGAAACTGCTCTGGCAGTGGTGTAAAATGCTGATTTCCAGTTGTGAGCTGTTGTGGCTGCAGCTGCTGATCTTGGGTGCTTTGGTGAGCTCATATGTCTGATAATCTAACCAGCCATTCTGTTTCTCCACCTGAGAAGGCACTGAAGGAATTTGTTTTCCAGGAAAGGGAAAGCTGACTTTCCCACTCAAACCGTTGTTGTTGCTGACTTGGTGAGAATTTGATTGAGAATAAGTAACATGACCATTGGGAACAACAGCTCTGCTTGATGTGGGCAACTGATATCCATCCAACCAACTATAGTCATCCAACATTGGATTTGCACTGATTGAATCTGTGGCAAAGGCTTCATCAGCTTGTTTAGAAGGAACGGAGCTAAAACCAGGAGGAGGTCCCAAATGTCTAGCAGGCCGACTGACTGGGTTTTTCCTCAAACCCGCTGGCAAGACTGCTGACGTCTTCACAGATGAGTTATCAGCAATAGCTCCTGAAGAAGTAATAGCACTACCTCTAGATGGTATCACAGGTTCTACAGCTTTTGAGAGGCCATAAAACAAATTGGCAGTACTGGTACCCACTGATTGTTCGACGGGAACTGTGACTGCAGTATGGTTGGAAATGCCAAGAGTTTGTAGCATCGTAGGTTTCAATGCATGTCCATTCTCCATAAACCTAAGACCTTTCAAACTGTTCGCAAGAGAAATTTCCTCCTCTATCCACCTTGAACTATGTGGCTGAACTTGCCGTAGGTGTTGAGACACCACACTGCCAACAGATACAGGCATGACTAAATTTGAATCTAAGCCTGTTTGCTGGTTCAAATTAATGGGGTTGGATTGTTTCAGAGTAATGGGGCTGGATGAAGAATTGACATGAAAATTCATATCCCCTCCAGAAGTTTTTTGCATAGGTTCCAAGCTCTCATGAGGGGCCCATGTTGAAACATCCACGTCAGCTCTCTTGTCAGCAATTATAGGCTTAAATACAATAACTTCATCATCATCCTCTCCTTCTGCATACTGAGGTTTATTTGACTGGACCATTGCCAACTTCAATTTGTCCGCTGGATTCTCTTTTGTTAACTCCTCTACATCAGGCATAACTGAATAAGTCGGAAGAGCAAATTCTTCTGGGGTTTGAGGCTCAACACCAACTATAAACTTCTTTAACTTTGAGTCAAAATATATAATTTTCTGGTCAACCCTAACCACATTTGCCAAAGCCTTTCCTGCAGCTAAAATCCTTTTGGCTCGGGCTTTTCTTTCCTTGTTAGCATCACTCCCAATGGAATGTTTCCTTGAAAAATCCAAGATGGTTTGTGCAGGGACAAGTGGAACGAATCCTCTTAACTCAAAGTCCTCCCACAAAGCAAGCCGATTTTCAGTTTCTCCTTCTTCATACTTACTCATGTTATTAAAACAAGTATCTTCCTCGCCTTCATCAATTGCCATAGACCCAACTGTTAGAAGTTTATTTAACAATGATATGCAATGAGTCCAGAACTTTGATCTCACTACCGCCTGATTCTCATCCACATCATTGCCTGCAGCAAGATCCGGATAACATGCCAACCATTCCAGAAAAACCAATATGGCAGGTAACAGATAACTAGAAAAGGGATCATGCAGCTGCATGCATCTCTCTATCATGTAAGCCATTAATTCAAAAGCTGCAGTAAATGCATTCTGAAGGAGAACAGCACGTTGAACAATTTCAGCATAACTCTGACCTTCAGATTCCCTATTCACATTATGAACTGTGAACACAAGAATAGAGACAATTCTGACAATGGCAAGTGCATTTTCACGAGTATCCATTCCAAAATTCAGCTCCTCATCTTGCCCTGAAGAAAGAAGCTCACGAAAGCCAGTGCTAACTAATGCAAGAACTTCAGAAAAAGTCTCAAGGCTGCCACCAAGAAATACAACAGGAAACAATGTAAAAGTCAGCAAATGGAAATTCAAAATAGTGTGAGGTATGTACAGACATGCAGGAGACTACCAAATACCTAGTACGCGTAAATAATATTCCATTCAGACGGACAAAACGAGTGCAGAAGGCCTTGTAATTCTCTTGAATCGAGGATGCTCTTTCCTTTCTAGGACTGGTATCCACACCAGCACCTCTTGTTGCTAGTTTGGCTTCAATTTTTCCTCTTCCCTTGCCAGTCATACGTCCAGAAGCTTCCTTGACTGCAAGAGCTTTCACATCGCCAGAAAGCTGAGAATAACTCTGACGATTCTATGCAGGTAGGAAAAAAAAGAAGGTAGTTTGTTAGGGAACACTTAAATCATAAAGCCAAAAAGTTGAACAGGAAAAAATAGTCAAAATCACACACTGCATTAAAAAGTCTTCACAAATTATGGCTACAAATAAACCCCCTTCCTTGTTTTTACCCCTTTACTTCTACATAATATTGATAACAAAAAGCTGCAAAACCAATTCTATGGTCACTTCTTTAATAAATACCTTCATGGTCATCTTACCTTCTCAAACGCAACAATCAAATTGTCTCTTGCAGTTGAAAATGGGCTATCCACAGCCAGGCTTCGAAAATATCGATAAATAGCCAACAGCTCATCCCCGGAATATGAAGCCAATAAAGCAAGCTGAAAATAACAGTTCAAGAGGTTGGAATATTATAACCCCAAACAGCTATTCAGAACAAGTAAAATATCAACAATTCAGAATTGATAGAGAAATGGCAAACACCTGATGATGGGGATTCCCACTAGATGGCCAAAGAGATGCAGCTTGTAAGTAGTAACTAGAAGCTGCTGCAAACTCGCGGCTTATTGAGTCACCTTCACCATACAGTCCTTTGTAGCGAGCAAGATCTCCCAAATATATTAAACAACGGTGACAAGAAACTAAACCTTTCTTCATATCAGCAGATTTTTTTCCATCTTTCTCCATCACAATTTGATTCTCTGAATCCTCAAAATAACCCAGAGGAAGCCCATATTTTGCTCTAATTTTCATAATAAGATCATGGTAAAATCCAGTAGCTTCTGAAAGGAAAGTTTTAAACTGCAGCCTTATTTTAGTAATCCGATCAGGTCGTGAGGGGCCTTTCACTCCCTGAGTAGAGTTAGAGCCCGCAGAAGAAAGAGCAGCGCTAAGATATGCCCTCAACTCCTCAATCCGTTTATAGTGCAACTGCCACAGAGCATACTCAATATTATGCTGCTCAGAGAATGCATGATCCTCAAGAATTATTGCTTCATAATTCTCACGCATTTGTTGCCAAGCATTTGGATCTGAAGGGACCCTTGCCTGAGCTGATCTCCGACGCTTACTCTCCAATTCAAGGTTCTAAATATCAGATAAAGTAAGATAATAACATTAAAATTCATCCTGACAAAAATTTTTCTCACAAATAAATTAGAAAATATGGAAACCTCTTGGACTGGTTAACATTACATTGCATATGGCTAGACCAGAAAAGTTCGAAAATTTTAACATTACGATTTGAATTCACTCATTTAACTGGAAGAACTCAAGTTTTAGAGTAGACTTATTTTACCAGAAATCAGGAAGTTTGATTAATTAAGTAGTTCCAGGTTATTGTCGTGTTATTAAATATTGCCAATGTATTACCTCTTGAGAAATGTCCTTTTATCCAATTGACGCTTTGCTTCCACAATTCTATGGAGCATTTTATGTAGTATGAGTAATTCTTCTTTAATGTCTCTATTCATAGAATCTTGTTTATCTTTAAAATAACATGACTACAAAATCTAACCCTCCAGACTCCGAAGTAAAGGATACAACAATTCAGAGCTTGTAAATAATTTGATGTATTCAACTAAGGAAACTAAAGAGATAAGGGGGAGACTAAAAAAGACATAGAAACAGACAACAAATGTGCCCGAAAGAAGCAGGAGCCTTTAAGACGCAAAAAACTAGACAGCCAAAAAACAGAATCGTCAAATTAAAAACAGGTGAATCATGTGGCTGACCTCTGGACAAAGAACTCCAACACTAGAGCAAGCATTTGACAAAAGTCGCATACAAGACAGTGGCCCCAAATAGAAAAGCAGAGTCAATTCTGCCCATTATAAAGGGAAAACACTAATCATTGAAAACCTTTCCTCGATTAACCATAATACAAAGGGATCACATTGTGTAACAGTAACTTTCTTAGCAGAAGATAAGGTTTGCACAAATAAGTCCTTATTTCCGGCTCACATTAGCAAGGCTTACAGCTTGGTGCCTAACTAAAAGAACAAATACAGAATACCTTGTCATAAAGGCGCTGTGCGCGCTCCCTTGGTGAAGGAGCAGACACTTTATCCATCTCTACTATCATCATCCATAAAATATTCTTCAACAAAATCAATCAAGCTACATCAAACCTACAAATGAGAAAGAAAAAAATTAGAGCCCAGGTCAACAAAAACACAAGAAAGTCAGATTACAATAGATCACAATTAGTTGAGATCTATATCCAGGAATGGGCTTCAACGATCACAGTTTTTCATTACAGACCTTGTATTGATGAACGAATAATCCCCCTCATACTCATTCACATTGAAAATATTCTATACCCTTGAAAGTGAAATTGTAAAATAAAGTTTGCTAATAAACACAAAGACAAAAACTTCGGAATGAAAATTAGATTACACTTATATTAAATGAAGCAGGCCATATCAAACAGAAGAAATCGATGTAATTGAACCACAGAGAGCCTTCAAAAGCACAGTCAACTCAACTACAGCTGAGATATCAAATGTCAACACAAGATGGTTTCTAACAGCAAAAATTTTTCAAAAAAAATGATATCTTAAAAGAAGAAAGAAGTCAACTTAAATCACAAACAAATATCAGAAGGCATCAGTTTTCGTGAAAATTCTGATAGCACATGATTAGATTGATTAATAAGATTCTTGGCGAAAATGTATATATGATAGTCGAACCCAGGGCCCAAACCAGATGAAAGCCACATTCGTATTGATTCAAGCCAAAAAAAAAAAAATTCAGAAAATGATTCAGCGAGACAAGATTCAAATCGTACGTTTGTTCCCAGTCGTGACATAATCACATAAAATAGGGTTTGTCCAAGAAAAAATATTCACAAAATAACGCATTGCATAAGAGAATGAATCTACAACGAGAAACTGATTCCAGATCCGTCTAATCCATCAACGATTACTTATCTATGAATCAATCAGCTTCAAAACTTCCCCCAAAAAGTAATAGATTGAAAATCACGGGAGTTTCGCCAGCAGAAAAAGAGAAGGGGGGAAAAAAACCAAAACTCACATATTGTCTGATCTCCGACGAAGGCTGGATCAAAGCGTCGGATTGAAATTTCGAGAGAATCAAGGAGGAGGAAGGTCTTCGCTAGGGTTTCGTTTGTGCGGGATATAAACAAAGAAAGAGAGATTGTTGTGTTTTTGGTCTAAAAAGGATGAGGTTCATCGTGCTCCTCCTCCCAGGCGGCGAACTCTAGGACGACGCCGTTTAAATGATTTTTTTTTTTCCAGTTTCAAATTTTTTAATTTCATTTAATCAAATAAAATACTTGGAATATTTTAATCTGATCCCATCCCATTATCTAATGATTTTTATCAACAAAATTTAGGCGTGTCTAATGATTTTTTTTATTCACAAAGTTTGTTAAGCCTGTGAATTAAATACTACTCTCAACATTTTGAGGATATATATATAATACGATTTAATACAAGGACAATAATTACATCAGATTTCTTATATTCATTATATCAGATATGACCATGTGTTCTATTTTTAAAATATTAGTATTTAATTATAAATCCACACAAAATAAAAAGAGAACATATAGTTACATATGATTGGAGAATTTAACATAACAGATATAAGTAACATGACCTAATTCTTTTCCTTAGTCTAATCTATTCAAAGAACTTAATATATTTCACCAAAAAAAAAATCTTCATATATATAGTATATCATATCATATGTGATCCATACAAGCTGATTTTATCTTATTATTCTGTACTCTTCTTATACTTACGGTATTATTCAAATTTAAGATAAAAACTCTAATTAGTTATTATAATTTAATAAAACGTTATCACAACAGAAAAATTAAATAATACATAAATATTTTTTTAAATTAAATTGAATTAGATATTTAAAAACATTTTGATTTAATCCCATACCATTTTATCTACCATTTCCTTTACACAAAGATTGTTAAAGTTGTCATCAATTAGATATCATGTTGAACATTTAAAGTTGTACATGATTTAAACTAATCTATTCAAATAATTATCTGTATCATATCACACACATATTTTTTATTAGAATCTTATAGCCTAAAGGTGCATTGGTTTTTTTTGGGTGAAACACCAGAGCATCCCCCACTCGAGCAATGGGACTCAAGACTCGCAAACACCCAATTATGAGAGCTACTCTTCCAAGCACACCAGTTCCATTCCTATCCTCCATTGGAATCGAATCTGAGAGTGATAGTTAAGGGACACAAACCCTTATCCATCTGTGCCAACGTGTGTTGGTAATAGGTGCATGAGTATTTTGGAGATACATAGAAATGTATGATTTCAATTACTCCAAGGTGCATAAGATGTTTTTTGTGTGTACATTGTAACTGTGCATATAGATTAAATATTCAAGCATTTTGTTGCCCCAGAAAAATTTATAATTATTAATATTGATATTAATATCCCTTAAGAAAATCAATCTCCTCCCGTTGGCCCCAAAAAAAAAAAAACGTTTGGAGATGATGATGTTACGCAAACATATTTTAAAGTTTGGGAGGTTACTATCAAGTTTTGATTATAACAACGTTATTTACATATCACTCTCAAAGTTTAATGAAATTTTGTCCAATTTATTGGAAAAATTAAAAATAATGAGGCTAGAAAGTGAATAAATTTTTTTCATGAGAAGTAGTGAATAATTTTAGGTACATGGCATATTGAAAATGATAACTTTAGACTTGGAATTCTCAGCTCTTTGAAAGGAACGTTGAAAATCAGGCACTTGAATTAAAAGTCCTCCTTTTTTATTATAGCAATGGGTCCTATTCATTTGAAAATTAACTCTGCTCCTTTGAATTAATTTATTTGCTTAGCTTTACTTAACTTCTTTAAGCAATTGTTAATTGAATAATACGTGTTTATATATTTAGAAATAAAATGATAAAAAAGGATAAAATTACTGAAAATTTTCTTATTGCAAAATTTATCATCCAAAAATACCTAATGGCTCAAGTCCTTGAACGGATGTAATTCATTTTTGGCCAGTACAATTATTTTTTTTCAGGAGTGTACAACATATCTTTAATTTTTTTGAAAATGTTTTCTATTTTGCATATAATTAAATATATCCCAAAATGCTCGTACCTCTTTATAAGGGTTTTTTTTTATCCCCTCTTAATCATAGGGTTATATTGAAAAATTTTAACATTAAACTAATTTACTTAATTTTAAGAAAGTAATTAATAAGGTTTTATAAAAAGGATTGAGGAAAATATAATGGGCTTGTTTGGTTTCTTATTTTGAAAACAATTTTTTGTTTTTAAAAACAGAAAAATAAAAAAAGTTGTTTGGCAATTTGTTTTTAGTTGATTGTTTTAAAAAACAAAAAAACAACAATATGTTTTTAAAAACTGAAAAACCAAAACAACTTTTACATGTTATCTTGTTCTTGTTTTTCATTTTTTTTGTTTTGAAAAATTAGAGATATTTTTTTCTCTTCTCTTCTACTATCTACTATTTATTACTATTGGTGATAACTATCACTTGTCAAGATGTAATTTTTTATATATTTTTTTCAAATGTGATTTTTTTAAAATTATTTTCCAAACAAATTTTTTTTTGTTTCCAAAACTTGTTTTTAAAAACAATTTTATAAATTATCTTGAGAATAAGAAAACAAAGAACAAAAACAAGCGGCCCCATAATAAATATGTTTGCAGTAGTATATAAGCAAAACAGGTCTCATAGGCTCTTAATTTTCTTTGTCATTTTCTCTTTGGTAATATCGCAGCACTACAATGATCCAAATTACAACTAATTATTGAAGTGATTTTTTTGTCCGCTATATCAATATTAGACAAACCAGTTGCTTTAAAGCAAAACCCACCAACTTTTTGAGCATGAAAGAATGAATAATTTAGTGACAATTAGGTTTAAAAAATTGCGGAAAAAAGAGAGAGTAGCAAATATTGATTTAAACACTCAGAAACATAAAAGTCTGAATCACAACTCAGGGTTACAAAAGTCATGAGCAAGAATCATTCTATTTTTGCAATTATGCAATTCAAGTCAGTTTTTGTCTCATAAATCATATCCGTCAAAAGTTGATCTAAACATCACATATGACATAACAGGGTGTTTAAGGGAGTGTTTGGGTAAGATCAAAATCATAGTTTCAGAAGTGTTTTTACGGTATGTGAGATAAATATGTAAATGGGTTTGTCTCGATTTGTGAAAAAATACTTCTAAAAAGTACTTATTGAGCTTTCCAAACACCCTCTAAGAGCGATTTATAAACGTTTGATTTACAAATGACACTTTCACGTTCAAATTATCCAAATCGATATTGGTGATGAATATTTCAATAAATTTTTTTAAAGATTTGGTTATTATTTAATTCATATTTTGGAGCCTAAATATCATTTTATCTTTTAACAGGACTGAACTAGTCCGACTGAGTAATACTTTGTGACAAATATAGTAAATTTGTTCAAGTTTTGAGATTTAGAGAGAAGGCCATTGTTAATTGGGCATATTAAAGCAAATGCACACGGTTTTGTGACCTAACCTATCCCAACTCGAAGCAAAATGCCTCAAAAAGAGTGAATTGACATGAAAATAGGTTGGCTAGAGCATGTGAAGAATTTTTTCCCCATTTGTATGATGCTTTCCTGGAATTTAGGGTCTCGTGTATTGGAATATCAACACAAGTGGCTTTCATTTTGTTTTCATTTAGATTTATTTAATTAAATTATGTCACGTCAAAGGAAAAACAAATTAAAAATATTGTGAGTAGGTCCCAAATACCCAAATGAATAATTTGGTTATTATAATTTTTAATTCCGAAAATTTGACCACATCATAGTTTTGTTCTCTAAAATTTGGAACTAGTATTCAAACACAAAAGAAATACTTCTCATTTATAAAATAATTTTTAACTTCATTTTTTTAAAAAAAATTCTATCGTACGCATGAAAGACAACAAACCCCAGGTTTGGGCAATTCAGGGATCTTGGAAAGGTAGAGAGTATAGAAAAAAATGAGAAGAAAAAGAAGAAAACATTAATTATAAAGTTTAGATGCTTTAATTACTATTTTGAGTCTTAATATAAGAACTAGCTTGATATTCAATTTAGTTCTAAATATAATATCCTAATTTCTTTTATCTCTTATATTTATTTATTATTTTTAAAATAAATCTTAGGTTTCATCAAATTATAGTTCTAACTAATACACATGATTAACAATAATATTTTAAAAAAATAATATTTATTTATTATACATAACTAACTCAATAAACTTTCTTTATTTACTTGTAGTGATCAATTAGCAAGGTGAGAGGTAGTAGTTTATTAGCCCATTGTTTAGGATCTCAACCCCATGTATATCCGCCCCTGATTCCAACTATCACCTAATTTTTGTATAATTCTAAAGTACAGATTGTCTTTAATAGCTGCTGAATTTCTTGGATCGAGAGAAATGTGAGTGATTCAAAGAAGACTAATTAAGTAATTAATTAAAAAGATCACCAACACGGACCTGAGTTTAGATGCTTTCAGAGTCACAGGCCCAACCAGTTAAAAAATAAAACAGGCTCGGGTTGACAAGATGTCAACTCGTTAAAGTATGAGCTACTTCAATCGATACCGTGGCAGGCTAGCTGTTTTTTTTTTAAAAAAAAATTCATGCAATTCCCAATATATTATATAATATAGTTAGATCATTTTGACTTTCAAATTCCACATGAATATTACCTCATTCATATCATTACATATGTAATTAAACACTTTGTATGTACATGAGTGTGTGTAGTTGTATAAAGAGCATCATCCATCTTTTATTTTTTATCTATTTGTTGCGTTACTATACATTCTTTTATAAGATTAAATAAACATGTGACACTTATATATATACATAAAAGATCTACTTAGTTAATTTGGATAAGAAAACTAATTAAATTAATTATTTATAAAAAATATGTGTTAGTTTTTTAAAAATATCTTCTTAAATTATAAATTAATCCTTACATTATTTTATTACAACCACTATTCAAATGCAAGATTTCAAGTCTAATTTTAACATTTCAAATTAAGCTTATCCCATACCAATAATAATAGCTTTTTATTAAAAAAAAAAAAGTTAAACAGGCTGACAGGCTACCCTAGCTTTTGGCTGGTACCGTCGCAGGCTGGCCCATATCTACACCGTCAGCCCGTGTTACCAACTTTAGATGCTTGAGCATTTGTTCCTTCGCTTCTTAGAGAGAGTATTTTTCCCCCTTGATGTAAGTCGTGTCCTAAAATTTTTAGTATAAATAAATAATTTTGCTCCTAATTTATTGTTCTATAGACTATTATTATCTTAATATATATATATAACAAAGGTAAGAATGAAAAGTTGTTAAATTTTAAAATAGAGTTAGTGGGTTGCCGGAAAAAAAAGAATTAATGAGATTTAAAATTTTTTGTTAATTCCTAGTGAAACATGTTGAAACTTGAGAGTGATTTGTAAACAAGATGAGATAAGTATATAAAAGGTATATTTATATTAAAGATTTAATGATGTCACTTATTTTTTGAAAATCTATATTAAATTTTAAGATAAAGTTAATAGGATTTATACTTTTTCTTAACTATAATATAACATGTTGAAAGTAACTTGTAAATAAATTAAAGAAGTGTATAAAAAATGAAATATTACATTTATATTAAAAAATTATAAAAAATGAAATATTACATTTATATTAAAAAATTAATAATGTCGCTTATAATTAGGGGGAAAAAAGCTTCTTCATAACTTGTATAAGAGCACACAAATACAGCTGAATGGGTGAGGTCTGATGTTTCTTTTTGGTTCTGGTAAACAAAATGTTTCTTTTGGTTAAAAAAAGGCCTAATCTTTTGGTGTTCGGAAAGTCTAGAAGCACTTTTAAAAAATATTTTCACGTAAACTAAGATAAAACTCTTCTCATATATTTATATCAAATTTTATAAAATTACTTTTAAAATTATAATTTAGTTTCCATCCAATCACTTTTTTTTAGTCCAAACATGATGATTGACCTATGATTGGGGCAACTAAACATTCTTTTCTTTATTATTAGCTTATATATTTGTGTGGTTTTTGTATATTATATAATATATAATTTTAAATAAAGTGTATTGCTTATGGTTTATAAAATTTCAAAATTTATTATACACTACCTATGGGCCTTAATATAAAAGCCAATTAGAAAGTGAATTTAGTTCTAAATATAAAATTTTAATTTATTTTGTCTTTTAAATTGATAATGTTTTCTCTTAAATTTCCTTTCTAATTATAAGGATTCCCATTTGTATATAGTTAAAGAGGATAATTTAGAGAAGTAAACATATTTATTACAATTAACTAATTTAACTAATTTTTGAATCTCCTCAAATTAATTAAAATAGAAGACAGTATAAAAATTCTATAAAAAAAAAACTACTTCCACTTGGAGCCATGCAGAAATGACATTTGAGTGTCATGATGACAAATTAATGATAATTATGTTTTTCAATTTTTTTAAAAGGAATTACAAACATCAATTTAGACATCAGTTATGGTGAGAATATTATATATTTATATTTGAAATTTAAAAATTTAATTTATAATTAACCCTCCTAAATTCATAATTATGTAAATTAATATTTGCAATACATTTTTCATTAAACTTTATCAAATTCTAATTGTCATAAATTCAACTCCCATGAATTTTTTCCTGCATGTCATCGTTATTCTCCAAAACGGAATCGGTTGCACTTGCACTCTCACTTCGCGTACTACGTGGCCTTAATTTCTTTCTCTTGTGAACATTTTCTTCTGCGAATCCTAACAAATTTCCGTATTAGCCAACACCACTTCCGGCGTCGATCTCCACCGCATCCCAGCGACGTCACCCACCGGCAGCTGGTAAGTAGCCATTCTTCCCAATTTATACGAATTCATTTGGTTTATATGACCTTCTCCCGACACTCGCATTCTCTTCCTGAATCGTAAAAATTCAAGATCCTGTTGTTTATATGATATTCACACCGGTTTATACTTTTCACTTATCAATATATGTGAATAATGAATTATTCGGTTCAATTTGGCATTTCAATCATGGAGGAAATTTTTAGCCTTCTTAGTCTGAGTTTTCTGTTCTGCGCATTTTTTTATTTCGAAAGTGCTGGCTTTGGTCACTGAAAATACATTTTTCCGTAAGATTAGAATACTTGGTCGCCATTGGGAGCATAATGCCTTGTATCCGCGGCATCCGGTCCCTTGGTTTTTCTGATCGTATTTTTATAGCAAATGATTCATTTAAACATGACAATAACTGGAAGCTATTTTTGCAGAAGCATCACAATAATGTAACAGTAAAAGCAAATTTTGTGCACATTCCCTTTTGGCGTTGATAATATCATATTTCTATTTTTGTGATTTTTTTTTTTAATTTCTGTCTGGTAATGCCGGGCTATATTTTGGAATATTGTGACAGATCTACTAACTGGTGTCAATGGTTGCCTCATATAAGATCATTTGAGGGACGAGTGAATGAAAGAAAGAGGAACGACTGTCAATCCTTAATAAAAGCACTCCAGTATTGGGATTCTGATATTTTTATGGTTCGTTTTTCTGTTCTTTCATCTACTGTAATTTATTTAATTTACATTGATGCGTGTTAAACTTATAAATATATCGTTATTAATTGTCAATCTGCCTTAAAATATGGAAAAACCTGACACAATTCTCGTATTCTTTCAAGTTGAGTGTTATATTCAAGTTGACTACATGATCATCAGGATTTGCCTGTCAACTGATAATCTTTGAAATTTTTATATAGTAATTCATCATTTCCTAGTTATAACGCCATGTTTTAAGATGCAGTCGACTCAGCTATTGTATTTCGATGACGCAAGCTGGAGGGAATTTTATATAGTTCAATATTTTTTGTTAAACAAAACTTCATGTGAACTAATATATTGTTCAAGGCTTTATATGCTTGTTTTCTGCTTCCTGGATTATTCAGTATTTGTTGATCGATTGCTATTTGTTTCAGTGAAGCAAGAAACTCGAGCATCTGCATAGTTGGTAAAAATGGTTTCTCTTGAGATGGATGACCGAAAGAGTAAGTGGAGTTTGTTACTTTTGTTGTATCCATAGGTAATAATGACTTTATAAAAAGCAATGCGCTGTTTTTAGTTCTTAATGTCTAAGCATACATGATCGTGCAGTTTTCTACATATTTTGCATATTACTTCTATTGTCAGTGGAAGTGCTCTGGATTCTAAATTTCATTTATATTGAGCGCTTGCAATTTTTCTTGATCATTCGTTCTTGTTTTTGCTATCACCTTGGCCATAGAAAAGAATATCATAATACAAAGCTGTGTAGTAATTAAATTTTATTAGTTGGTATCGACTTCACTTGAACGTGTAAATTTCGACCACAATATCTTATTTAATTTCATGTATGCAATTGGCACGTCAAACAGAGATTGGGTTGGGCTTAACTGGCTTTGGTGTATTTTTCACATTCCTTGGGATCATCTTCTTCTTTGAGAAGGGGCTGCTAGCCATTGGAAATGTAAGTTTCATGTTGCCACAAGTTTCTCGCTGAACTTGTCAAACATTGTAATTGATGACATTTTTCTAAATGCATTCTGTTTCATGGTGTCACCCAATTCAGATCCTCTTCATTTCTGGAGTGTCCTTAACCATCGGACTAAAATCCACTATGCAATTCTTCATGAAGAAGAGTAATTTTAAGGTGTATTTGCACGGTGTTTACACAATCTTTCTCCCTTTTTTTTGATTCTTTTGATCTTTTTATCTCATCTTCCCAGTTCTCCCTCTTACCTTTGAGTTTTATTTTGCTGGTTGTGTAGGGAACAGTTTCATTTGGAATTGGATTCTTCATTCTTGTGATAGGATGGCCTATTTTGGGCATGATTCTCGAGGGTTATGGGTTCATCTTACTGTTCAGGTTCAGTGAAATCTGACACAAAATTATGCTCTACTTGGTTTGTTAAATCTAATAATTTATTATATTGTGCAGTGGATTCTGGCCTACACTGGCTGTTTTTATGCAGAAGATTCCTATTCTTGGCTGGTTGTTACAGCAGCCTCATATTCGTTCGGTACGCGATATTGCTTAAACGTTTTTTTATCTGTCAGATGATTCTCATTCTTGGTTGGTTGTTTAGGTTAGAAACCTTTTCGGGTTATGCAATAAGAATAGACTAGCTGCTCTGTTAGTCCTATTTACCTCGTCATACTAACTAAATAAGGTTACAGCCTTCTAATCCCTGCTATGGTTTGGGCGTACATAAACATTTTGTCCTGTTAAGGTATATGATTATTTGATGACTGCACATTATGATGGATTGAAATAATGCAATAGTATAGATTAGATCTAATATATTTTTCTGTCACTGATGCTTCTCTTCTCAGATCCTCGAGGTTAGGGCTGTCTTCATGTCCTCAGTTTGGTACATGGAGAAGGGATTTTAGGAAATGGAAAAAGTGAGGAATAAGAATTTTTACTGTGTTAGGCAGATGGCAAAATGACTTTTTAGAATGAAAACTTTTTTCATAGTTGATGGAATAGAGCTTTCTCATTCCCATTCCTTTTCCTAATACCATTTTGTACCAAGCAAACCCTCAATCGATATTAAGTTTCCAGTGATATTCTGGGAGGAGGAAGTCCTGTTTTAGAAAATGTTCTAACGCTACTCTTGATTATAGGTTGTGGAATGATTACTTACGTGCCAAAAACTTCTGGATTTTTTTGTTTCTTTTTATTCTATGAACTTGCAGATGTTCGACAGCCATAGAGGCAGACGGGTGCCGGTGTAACATGGCGATACGTGGGGCAAAGAAATAATAATATAGCTGATAGCAACCGCACAGGGAAGTTGATGTATAGAAAATGGCTGTCATTTTGTGATGATAGTCATTTATTGGAAAGAAAACTGGAAAACGAAAATCATGGGGATTGTCAGTTCTGCCAGCTCCATGGTTTTCCTTAAGACATCTATAGGAAGCATCGCTTTGGAGGATCATAGTGGCATCTATTCAGACCCTGACCCTATAAAGGAGCATAACCACTCCTCTATGTGATTTTGGTTTTCAGATCATGTTAGTCCAGCAATCTAAGACTTACGATCCTTTTTTTGCCCTCTAACTAGTTTAGGTCCCATGAATTACTTGGAGTACAAGAAATAAGCTGTATTATTCATGGCTAAGAGAGAGTGTGATTTGTTAGAACTTTTATGTTACATGTAGAATCCTTCTGTGAAACTGATGTGTAGATCTGATTTTTATTTAGGATTTTACTTTTCTTGGCATAAATCTTACAAATCTAGAATGTTGGGACCATACCCAGTTCATTATATTATAAAATTTTAACAAAATACAGACAGAATTGAAACAGGAAGGCATACATTAAAATTGTATAAACTATAAAGATACATTTATGAAAAATTAAGATACACATTGTAAACGTCAAGTTAAATAAAATCGTAGGGATTAAAGGTATAATTTCCCATTAAAAAAGGTAATCGCACGGGACTGATCCCGTTGGATTATGGATCCTATACTCATGTCGGTTGAAAGTTAATACACAAAAATGTGAGATGCCGTGTGGTACCTAATAGTTGTGCAAAATATTTTTCACAAAAAAAACTCAAAATCAAATTATAAAAAAAACATTGGTCAAAATTATCAAGATTAGTTCCTTATTCTTAAAACACTGAACCCAAATTGACCATTGGTCACTGGTAATAAAGATAACATGGTAAAAGAAAAACCCTATTTTCTCCACCGCTTACGGTTCAATTTGAACATTTTCCCCCTTCTTTTGTTTTTTGGGCATATTCATCTGAACCTTAGTAATGGAGGAACTTTACAAGATAAACCGCCAATTTATAATAACTTCCCAAACTTCAAATGTTTCGATTCAAGACATTAGTAATTATGTACATTATATATATAATCAGGTCATGGCAAGTTACTAGGGATATTTCAGTCTAGCATCAGCAGAGTGACTTGTGCAAGCTCTAGCTTCTCCATCTCAAATTGCTCAGCCATCCAAACTGAACCAAAGGCTGCCCAGCCTGTAGGCTTAAAATATGCCGTCTGTACGGTATTAAGAAGTTCTTAAGACCTGTCATTCACATAGCCAAATTGTCACCTATGGTGCACAGATACAAGTTCAGGATACGATAATTTTTGAGAAGCATGAGGTGCGGATGCATAAATCATATTCTCAAATTTCATATAACTTAAATAAAGTAAATCAATTTTTGATATTCAACTTGTTGGGGAATAAGGTATTCTCGAACCAGAGATTACAAAGCTAAAAAGAGAATACAATAAAACCCCAATCAAACTTGAGTTCGTGAAAGAGAAGTGCTGCACGTTTGCACATCTAATGTAGTGATTTCCTTAAAAATTTCATGTGCATCGAACCAAAACTGGAAGATACACACAATTCTTTCAAAACCCTCCAAGCTGTAGGAATTCAATAAGGTACACCATGCTAAACATGTACCAAAAAACACATTTGGAAAAACCAAACAGTACTAATTCAATAGCACCCAATTAGTACCCTCTACAGGTATAGCTTGAGAATTTCCCAACAATGCATCATTGACTGTCGCTATATTGTTGAAGAAAAAAACTAGCCAGCACGGCAGAGCACTATAACAATTTTAATGGGAAAGATAGTATTTTCATGCAAGGCTTACCATTGGTGCACATTGTCTTGTAAAGAAGAGCAACATGGGGGTCTCCTTTCGTACTCATATTTCGACTCTCTAAGCAATCAAGGAATGCTAAATCAGCCTTCAGCAGCTCAGCCTGATCATGAGTATCATACCCTATATCATGACAATAACAGCAAAAATCCAACCAATCTATTGGCCGCCTGTCCCAAACAGGAGATCCATGGTCTTTTCCACTGGACCAGTTGGGCCCACAGTAATGACCATATCTAGGGAAGAGCTGAGAAAGGAATCCTCTCACCCCAGTATGCCATGGAACCTTGGAAACATATGGCCTAAAGCGCAAAGGAGTAACCTCAATGCCGTTCTCAACATTCCCACGAGTTCGTGCACGCCTCTTTAACCCTCTATTGATGGTAGTTGGTCTTTGAATTCTGTCTCTAGCATTACTTGTCCAAGGAAAAAATCGGAGGACGGAAAAAAACCATCCAAATAATCTAATATCACTATGGAACACTTCTCTTGGTTGATCTCCTAGAGATGTCATGGATTTGGAAGCTTCCCATGAATCAGTCTTCAACTGAGCTTTGGACCATGGGGCATTATTAAGAAACCCAAAGTTCATGGTAGGCAAACAGTCAAGGCATAGCCACCCTAGCACCAATGTTCTGTTCACCTAGAGACAGAAAAGTAACTACATCAAGAAAAATCCATCATATATTATGAAATCTGGTCCATGTTAAGTGAAGTATACAATTAAGTGCCTATTTCGCCATGGTGACGAAGAGAATAGAAGAAACATTTTTAATTTTTCTGCCTATTTAATAAACAGAAGAAACATTTTTAAATGGGAGCAAATATCGACTTTTTCTACAGCATGAATGAGCAAACGATTAGAGCTTCCCTTAAAAAGCAGAAAGAAATGTAAAAACTGATATGTTTAAGCCAAAAGCGCTATAAAGTTATTCAGAACAGCAACAATTAACAATAAAGCTGAAAGCATCCTTAGAAAATTTTGGCGATGAGCAAGAACTTCGTTGAAGTGCTAATAGAAAAATGTGGTGTTTTTCAAAGCCATCCTAGGAAAAGCAGAATATTCACAATACCGTGAAAGAGATCCGTTTGTATCAGAATCGCAATTAGATTGAATGAATATATGGCCAAACCAAGTCGTCAAGATCCTAAGCACAGTATTTCCGAACTAAATTGAGTCATTAACAGTTTGATAAGGCGGTAAGCTGGATTCTATCTTCAGACGTTGAGAAAGCGCAGAAGTTGAAATTGAGGACATACAATATCTGGGCTCCGATCAAGCGTATAACATAACTTCATTGTAAATTAAAAATGCACAAAAATCTAAAATTTAGTCCTTTATATCCTCCGATTTCGACCCTCGACACCATTCTCCATTTTTACGCACACTTGAAACAGCAATTGCAGGGTTCCAATACGCGATATCGAAGAACCAGAGAAAGTTCAATAACCTTACCTGTTAAGGGATATGGTAACTGTATACAGTCGTCTGCGAAGAACGCATGGAAGGGAAGATCGAAAACGGAGTAGAGCGAGAGTTTTCTCGAAAAAGGTTATCCAACAAGGATTTTGCTTCAATTTAATAATAAATTCATGTCTCTCGTGGATCTCATGACTTGCGTATTACGCAGAGTACGCTGACCACTAGTTTTGGTTAATCTACAAAATTGGGCTGGCAGAACAGAACACGGATCTGAGTGGGACCTACACATAGCACACGTAAGATACTCGCACACGTAAGAGGTATGAGCGCGAACATGATCGTGTACGCGGCGAGCGTGGGAACGGAATGCATTCACTTATCTTTCCCCTTCATCCGGGGTGCGTCCAAGATCATGACCCGTGGCATTTTGTGGTACAACTTAGGAATTATAACGGGTGACTGCTAATTTTTAATATACCATCCAGTTAACTAATTTAAAAAAAATTAAAAAATAGAAGTATTTAACTTATCCGTTACAATCTCAAGTAATTTGGAACGGAACAGGACAACAACCAGGAGGGGACGGATGCAGGACGGGATCTATCCCGTCCCTTCTCAGAGTATTTTTTTAAAAATTATTTTTAATAATTATTATTAGATTATTTAATTTATTTATTAATAATAATAAATGATTTTTATAGTAATTTTTAGCTCTTAGTTGCAGTGTTATCTCAACAAAATCTCATTCTTCAATAAAATAATTCATAAAGCCATTATACAATTTTTTTAGGGTATTTTTTTTACAGTATTATTGTTACACCTTTTTTATATTATATAATTAACTTTTAACATAATATTTTTTATAATATTTTTATCTTTAAAAGCCCAATGAAAAAAAAACATTATAACATAAAAAAATTCATACAAAAAATTACAATATTGTTTTCAAAAAAAAAAATAAGATGTCACATCTCTTCCCATCCCATCCTGTGAAGAACTCTGTAAGAAAATTACTAAATCATTTAATTATAACATATATTATATGATTTCTTTAAAATACTTTTGTGAATTATTAGATTATATACGATGGGTAAAATACACTCATCAACCCTAAACAATTTTTAGGGTGTATCTAGCACCCTAAACTATTTGATAGTGCAATTTTGCTCTCATCTAATAAAATTGGAGCAATCTGAACCCAAACCTAACATCTCTCTAACTCTGTTATCTCCTCTCACAACTAGCCATTTGCTTTTTAATTTTTCAAATGACACGTCATCTTTAGAGCGGCAAAGGAGGTATTTTCAATGGAGCACTGTTCATCATCTTCTTCATGGGTGTTTAATGGGAGAAAGGATTAGAGGACAAGGTTCTAACTTCATAAGCTTCCAGTCATTTGAGGTATTCTAACCAACTTAGTTATTTTACTTGAGAAAACAAATATGCTATCACTTCAGTAGAGATAAAAAAAAAGTGAATTTGAAACAAAACCGTACTTTCCTAGGTTGCTCAGGTGAAGAAAGCAAAAACTTGAGAATATTAGATAGTTTTTCCCTAGATCTAATTATAGCTGCTTTCACCCAGAACAAATTTTGAAGAGCTCAAAGAAAAATTATAAAGCCAACACTTTTCTCCATGGCCGCTTAGACAAAGATAGAGAGAGAAGGAGAGAGATGAACCGTGCTCCCTCAATTGTGCCTCCACGAAGAAGACGATGAACAGTGTGCCCCCCATCAATTCAATCGCCTCCTCTGACGCTCAAAGGATTATGTGTCATTAAGAAAAAGGGCAAATGGCTAACTGTTAAAAGAAATAACGGAGTTAAACGGGTGTTAAGTTTTAGATGAGATTGCTCCAATTTTAATAGATAAAGGGTAAAATTACACCATTAAATAGTTTAGGATGCTGAGTATATCTTTAAAAATAGATCAGGGTGTTTTGCGCACCTTTACCCTATATGAATTAATAAGTGAAACAATCTAATTTAGAAAAAAAATAATAAATATAAATAGTTTAAAGTAATTTAGTAACTTTTTTTATTTTTTTGAGATTGGTCAACTCGATCTTATATCAACAATGAGAGAGAGTATAAGGTTGGAATGAATTACAAATTAGGGTTAAGTTTATTTAGGTTTAAAAAGGGATAAAGTATGCTAAGAATTCCTTAAGACTGGATTTAGGGGTTTTGAGCTGCATAGAAGTAATGAGCGACGGATAAAGAGTACTAAGTTTTTTTTTTTTCCAGGAAAAAGGCAAAACAATACTCCTCTGATTTTTAATGTAAAACTTAATTGTTGAGTTGATTTTGATCCTAAATGTAAAACATATTTCTTGTATTTATTAATTTGTCTTAAATTATCCATATTGATACTCTCTCAATCATAATTAAGTACGAAAGGAAAGAAGGATATTAAGGAAGATACTTATAATATTTTAAAAAAAATATGTGATATTTTTTATAATTAACTAACTTACCTAACTTTCTTAATATAATCAAATTAGTTAAATATTTCTCATGTTAAGGACCAAAGGTAAATTGAGATTTTGAAAAATTATAGAAAACTGAAATTAGAATAACCCTAAAGTTAACAACAAAAAAATTATGAAGAAGTTTGTGAAGTGATATTAAGAGTTGAAGAAGTTTGTGAAGGAATTTGAAAAATAAAATAAAATAAAAACTATCCGAACAAAGGAAGTCGTTAGTGGCATTTTAATATGTGATTGCAAGAGTCCTGTGGGGGAGGACGAGAATTGAAAGAAAATCTAGGGTTGGATCTGATGAACACTTTAGACTAGACTTCTGTCTTTTGATTCTTGACTAATGTTTTTACTTCCCAGATCATATGTAATGGACATTAGAAATAAGATTTGAACGAACAGGTAGTTGGTTGAACTGGTGAGTGGGTTCACTCCCCATAAAAATGAGAATGTGTGTTCGAGTCCTGAAAAGCACTCTCGCTGGGAGAGAGGACAACCCTGCTTATGTTGGTGGCACTCCTACCCCTCGAGTCCAGATTAGTCGGTTGCCAATAGGCATCAGATTATCGAGTGGTGTAAACCCAAAAACAAAAAAAGAAATAAGAAATAAGATTTGAGATTCTAAGTTCATGGGTTAGTGAAATTTGACTCCTATGAATAGATTAACTTCAGTGAATTTAAGCAAGATGTATTCACAAATCGTTGTTTGAGATAACCACGTTGAATACAACTTGTATGCTTGTGTCTGTCGGTATTTTTAATATGAAAATATTATTTATGATGGAAAGTTATGGCTTATAAGTTTTATGAAATGTTAAATTAGAATTGTGTTGAAATAGAGTTTTTATGATGAAAGCATGAACTCAACTTGTTAGCATGACTTGATTTGTCAATGAAGTACGCTATAATTTGATTATAAATTATATTGATATTCTCCTGACTTAAAGGATACATAAAAAGACTCTTCCCATCTAATGGAGTTTGACAAAACTGGATAAAAAGGTTGACTGTGATTTCCACTCAAAGTGCTTAGTTTTCATGCTTTCTTCAATGGTTCTAGAGGATACATAAAAATGATTATGTACATACAAATAAGCTAAAGCACCAAGTTTCCTCATAACAGATGGTTTAGTTCAACAAGCTCCCCAGCTATTGACACAACACATAATTACACCAATCTGCCCTCTTCCCTAAAGAAAGAAGGGCGTTTCAGAAAAATATATTATAACGAAGGATTTTTCAAACTCCAATGACTGCCCACTGCCAAAAGAGAAAAATAGGAAATTTGAATAGAAGGGAGGGTATGAAACAGTACATGAACAACACAGGATACATACATGCAACTAAGTGGAAAGGATGTACATGTGAGACAAAATTCTTCACACTCGATATAAAGAAGCACTGATTTGGCCAGTCAACTCCATGATGGCGATGGTGGTTTATAGACGAAGTCTTGGGAAGCTGATGAGCCGTAATTCAAGTCAAGATTATGGAGCTGTTCCATCAACTGGGAACGCCGTTCCTTGAAAAAATCGAGACGAGTAGTTAATTCTACAAGGGTTGAAGACGCTACAGAAGGGTGTCTTGCATATTCCATCACCTGAAACCAATGATGCTAAGTCAGCACCTCATAATGCAGAAAAAAATCTTCAACTAGCACAATCTGTTCATAGATTTCTACCATATAAACAACCAAACCCATATGACAATCAATATGTCAACATACATGTGTGTGTGTGTGTGTGTGTGTGTGTGTGTGTGTGTGTGTGTAAAATATAGGTTATAGCATACTGTACTATTTACATGCTATGAACAATAAGGCTTATTATTCAGATTCCATGCAATGACGAGTGGTTAACAACACAACCTCTAAATTGACATTAACACAATGCTACAATTATTAGTGTGTGTTTTCAATCATAGAACATTCACAAGTTTCACATGATAGAACAACTTATGCATGGCAGCATAAAAACAGTCAGTATTCTCAAAAATCATGCGAGACCATGAAGCTAACTTGACGTAATTTACAACATAACCCACTTTCTTGGACACATTTGATCTTAAATCTCACAATTTTACCTCAGGTGCTCTTGAGGTGGAGGGCAATGCGGCAGAATCAACAGCACTGAGGTCATCTACAGACATGCTTGTCGATGCCTCAGTACTTTTAGAATCACTTGGACTTGAGTCTATAAATTGCTTACGAGAAGGCTGCCTACCACCGCTACCAGATGCCAATACTTGTCCTTTGATATTTCTCCAATCCGTGCCCAACAAACTTTCCTGTTTACACGCAGGATAAAATTGAAGATGGATTAATCAATTTGGTATCCATGCACCTTTGCCTTATTTTCAACATAATGACTATGATACATACCTCAGTCCTTTGTTTCCTTTCATGATTACAAAAGGCAAGGGTTGTATCAAAATCTTGCTGAAGAAATCTCCTGCACAAGTCGGAAAAACTTCGATACTGAAGGATATAATAGATTCATAAAGCATTCAATTAAAATTAAGGTCCCCATATAATTTTAAAAATAATTGCAGTGTGAAGATAGTTTCAGGTCCAGAAATGGAGACTTCAAAAATATAATGAAAAAAGAAAAGTAGCCATTCAAAATCAGTTCATTTCGTTTTCTGGGACAATTACTCCGATGCCCAGCACAATATTTCAAGCACCAATTACAAACAAAAATAGTCTCTTCTGAAGTTGAGGCAGCACCCGTGGTCCCTAAATGGTTTTTTGACCCTTGAACTTCATACCAGGTAATGGTGTCGGCCTGTCATGATATCGAGTTCATGCAGAACCTCCTAGGGAACAGTATCAAACAGTACCCATGGCCAGAATTATAATTTATACTGTAATTTTGTTTAGCAACATGAAGATGGTAAAGCTAGGTTCAGATGCCATGCAAAACTAGTAATTAACATCTAAGTCGCGCACTCTTTCAATGCTAAAATAAGTCTGATTACTCACTGCTGAGCATAATGCGGGACATGTTGATACTGATCACATGCATCAGCAAGTGAACCATAGTGATGCTGTCGCTGCTGATTAAGTTGATGGTGGAGTTCAGCCACTTTCTGCTTCAACCTGGCCACATCAGCTTCAGCAAGCGCAATCTCCTCAAGCTCAGCCCTTGTCTTCAAATAAGTAGATTTTTTAAGATCATGCCTACCGCAAAATAGATTATTAAAAAACAGCAAATTCTACTAAAATCAGTAAGAACCTGAGAATCCATGCCACGTGAACTGGAAAATTGTCCTGACGACATGCTCAAACCAACTTCCAATGCAGCTCTAAGATCCCTCTCAGCTTGCAACTGCTCTTGCAATCTTGAAACCTATAAAGTTGAAAATGAATTAAATATCACATATAAAAGGAAGGCAAGCAGACATCCATAAAAACTCATAATAAAGGAAAAGCTTTAAGAATTTCGACAGCACCGGGGAGGAAGAAGACAAAATAATTGCAAGTAGGGAGGAAATCAGTATATATTAAAAGGGGATGAAAAAACATATATTTGACTTCATGTAAAACAATAATGCATTTTTCATTTAAAAAAACTACGTAAAAGATAAAATTATCTCAAAGAGAAAACAATATTAGAAGGAAGGCATTTCCCCAATTTATTAGAAGTGTGCAGTCCACACTAACAATCCTGTCCACGGAAATAAAACGCAATAACGCATGTAGTTTTCAGAAGCAGCAAGTCAAAATTGTAAGAAATAATGTTCATTGCCTCCATGTCTACTATATTCACGAGTGACATTTTAAAATATTAGAATTATCAATGCCTTCAAACATCCTTCCATCAATTCTCAACCAGTCACAGCAGGGTAATTAATAAGGCATTAGTTCCCTGAATAGAATGAGATATTGGTTTTTAAATCAGCCAAACTCCCTATAATCTGAACTTATCCAATTTTTGTAATTAACTAATAGCTTTGAGCCTTAAAACACCCATGGCGGCATCATAAATAAGAGAGGAAATCAGAACCCACAGAACACATGCCCTAAAAATTCCAGAATGCAGACAAATTGTTTTAAGCGTATTAGTAAAAGTGACATAGTTTTGTCAACCACATCAGCCAAACAATTACTGCATTCTGAAAGCAAATGACAAGGCAAGGAAAAAATCAGACCGTAAAATCAAATTTTCACGAAACGCAAAGTCAAAAATTGGCAGGGGTAGATTAATCAATTAAAAAAGCATACATCTTGTTCAAGTGCCAAGCGCCGCTCATGCAAAGCTTGCTTCCTTCTCTCTAAGCTTGCTTGTAAAATTGCATTGCCTCTGGCCTAAATTAAAACATGGCCAATCCAATTAGAAATTAAACATCCATATTCCATAATCTACTAGAAAAAATGAGTTCATCCAAAGTAATTTACCTCCTTTGCAATTCTCTGCTGCAAATCACTTTTTGCAATTTCTAGCCTCTGAATAGCAAACCTAGAAAAAAAAGAAAGAAAGCACCTTACTTTATAGATAAGGAAAAAGGTTATGTGAAGCAAAATGCAGAGCGTACAGTGTCTTACAGGACCTATCCACAGCACAACAAGAAGACCTATCTAGGAATCACTCTTTCGAATACTTATAGTGCTTCCACAAAGCAATAATTATCATTTTTTTCCAAAAAAAGGATGAACTAAAACCTAGGTGCCAATACAAGGATTGTGAACCCTCTGAAGAATCAAGAACAGCAATATCAAGGAACAAATGAAATTTAGATAGAGCTGAGGAACCAGAAACACAAGAATATTGAGTTAACAGTTTCGTAGGCATTATTGGTACAAATATCCTTTCAGCCAAAACAAAATGCAGAAATATTGACACACAGCATTCTGCAACTCACTCTTCCTCTCCAGAAGAATCAACTGATTCCACTGATGGTGTCTTTCTCGCCTGCATAAACCATAGACGATATCAGATACCTAACATTAGTTTATACTTAGGAACACAAAAACTGGAGATACCAGCTCAGAATTGTCTCATGGCTTTACCCGGAAAATAAATATATACAAATCCAATATCAAGTAGGCATATTCTAAATACCAGCTATTGGTAAACCAGCATATATACTCCCAAAAAAAAAAAAACTGCATTGCCACGAATTCTCAAATTATAAACACAGTCCAATAAATGGACTAACCCTAGAAGATTCAGGAACATTTAGGTATGATTAAATACAGATGTTACTATGGATCAAATCCATAGTAATGAGCTTATCATTGGAGATTAGTTATTTTGGGCAAGTTATTTTCGTTATCCAGTCATTCCCTCCTTCATCTTTACGTCTGTAAAATCTTCCTGCGTCATATGACTCTTGAAACAACGAGATACATTGAGCAGAGGTAATACCAGAGAATAATAACTCACATTGCTCCTTCCCCAAAATGTTGACCTCTTAGAACTGATACTAGTGCCATTAGCCTTACTGGCTTGCTTTCCAGGACCTGGCCCCACCCCAGGAGCAGGTGAATGGTTACCAGTATCCATGGAAGATAAAATCTCACCCATGGAACGATAAGGTTCAGTGATAGGTGACATATTTGAAGCATCCTTCATATCAACTGATCTCTCATTGCCCTTTTTCTGCCTGTTTTGATCTTCAGTAAGTCGGGTATCAGGATCTGTATTCGGCTTTGCATTTTCAGCTTTAGGGGATCCAACATCAGAGTCATCACCTCCAAATGGCTGAAAAGGGGTGGAAGAGAATAATATTAACTAAGATATTATGAATATGACAACACAGCGTGACACATCTAACTTGAATGTATGGTTAAAAAAAATGAAATCTTCATATTACTTTTTCCTTTCCAGCTTGCGTGTTGTCAGAGAAGAAGAATAACTAAGAGGGTACAACTTGAACACGTAAATGGAGAAAAAAGGATGCAACAATATAGACAAAACCAATGACTTGTGAATTCTTTTTAATTCTATTCGCACTGGTCTTTTCCATTCATTTTCCATAGTTAACCATTGACACGAGTCTGGGCTCTTGATCTTTGCTGTCCTTTTTCTGACAACTTTTAGTTCCCACTGACTATCCTAATAGGAAAAGATTTCTTGATAATTAAATTTACAACACTAAAAGCCCAAATATTGTTGTTGCAATACTCGATGGGTTTGCTACAAATGGAATGCACATAGTTTCACACAGTCTATAAAGCTTTGATCAGAAAATGTTGGAATGTGTAGATTGATTCACAAACCGTTCCATTTACTCAAGATTATCCAGCAGAGAATTTTAATATTCTCAGCGCTTAAGTTTTGTTGAATCTGTGCCAAATATAAACAGACACAGAAGCAAAGGGAGCTGCAAAGCAATCCTCAAAAACAAGGGCCGAAAATAGCTAACTAAATAACAACCCAGCAGCCTGATTAAAATAAAAGCGGATAATATCGATCATAATAGAAAAGGGAACAAAAAAAAAAAAGGGACTAAAATAGCATGACTGACAACAATTACAACTGGAATAACCAATGTGGCATCATTAGAAACAGTTGGGTTGTTGTAATAAGGTCATTATGTCCCAGCCTATTTCAAAAGCTACAGTACAGTAGTAAGGAGAATTGCATTATGGATATATGATAATTATGTGATTCTTCGACTCATATGGTTGGAAAGATACTGACTGCCTATGTACAACTGGTCAGCTATACCCAACCCTTTGAGCAGTTTGTGCCTATTATTTGTTTTACTTCATTTTAAGGTTTCTTGCTATTTCTCAATTGAAGAAATCTCATTCTTTAAATGTATTTTCACATTAAAAAAACAAGGGGGAAATTAGGCGTTAGATGAGAAAACCTTGTACTCATAAAGATCACTGCCAGCATAACCACTACTTTCACTCAATTTTCCACTGAGTACACGATCAGCATCATCATCCGTCTCTTGATCAACTTCATTCTCTGCATCATGGTAACCGTTGTCTTTGACATCTGTATTATCATCATCAGTGGAATCCTCACTCCCACTGTTTTCAATCCGGGAATCTGCTGAAATGGAGCATCTTTGCATATTTTCTTCCTGGAAAAACAGATGAAGACTTAGCAGCTCGGTTACTAGCATTGCCCACCATATATGTCTTTCTTTGATTTAAAATCTATATAAATTAATGTCAGTACACATTAAGGTTTCTATATCACCAATGAATAAGAACTAAAACTTAAAAAAATGAAAATTCATAGTCATGTCATCTTAAATTGCCAAATTGCAGTTATCCCAGAGTTTTATTCATACGCTAGTCTAAATGAAAAGCTTAATGGAATTTTTCAATCAATTTAAATTAGGTATAAAACTAGATCACAGCAACAGATCTAAAACAGAAAAGAAAAGAAAAAAGTGACTGGAGAAACTATGACTTAAAATACCATAGACAGAGAATGAGAAAATGCAACCGTAAAGCTTAAATTGCATTCACCATTAACTAAACAGAAACAAACCAGGACCACCAATGGATGAAAAGCGTCTTACATCAAATATGCTTTCATACTCCTCCAATAAATTGGTGATAATTGCTTGAGCATTGTTAGCAGCATTAGCAGCAGCAAGAAGCTGAGCAGAACTATCACCATTTACATCAAACTCATCCTCCAATTCACATTCCCCAGCAAGTAGAGGCCGTAAGAGCAAAGGTGCCATGCAAGCAGCAACAGCTGATGGAGTCATCCGATTCTCATTTGAATGTGAAGCAACTGTATGCATCATCTTCAGAATTCTGCAGAGGATGAGACAACCACGACTAATGCTCCCAAGTTGCCGCTAAGTAATAATAATTTCGTGAAAAACAACTCAGTGTATTTGGATAGAACTGAACTGAGAACTATTTCTATGTTGTCTGTTATGATTAGAATTCAATTATAAAAATTATCATGAAAATAATTATACACATGCATATATATGGATATAATTAACCAGATAAAAATTGGGAGGTATTATTCACAATTTCACGTCACTTTCTCAAATAATAACTGCAGTTCAAGTAGTTTGCACTGCAGTGATTTTAAATTCACGATGAGATTTTGATAATATCATGCTTATTGTGATTTGCGAATGTTAAAAACTAAATTTTTTTTTCTTATTTTTTGTCATAAGGGTAGGGTTTAAGTGATTCTAAGATTCAAACTTTTGTCCACTAGGTTGATTTTAAGCAAGATCCTTTTTTTTTTTTTTTGGCCAACTTTGCATAAGATCTTTATCATGATGACAACTTTGATCATAACCCCCACGTAAATTGGAAGTTAGAAAAATACTTTGAAGATAATGCAACTGAAGAAAAGCATGGTAATATATCATCAACGGATCTACCAGAGAAAGGGGCAAAGCAGGAAGTAAATATGAAGATAACCTCTGTAACAGACGTCGATTTGGCTCTGGAAAGGTCTCAAGTATTGCAGAGCGCATTGCATTGATCCTAGCTTCCTTCCGATCAATTTCTTGTAAAATAGAGCAGCAAAGAATGACATAAACTTCTGGCTCAGATTCACATTTTAGGAAGTAAAATGATTTAAACAATACTAGATTATAGTTGAAAGTACAGGAAGAAAAAAGTTATGGTACTAGACATACTGGATGCTCAATACGAGCAACTTGCATATCATTTTTAAGTAGATCAATCAACACGCTGAGACAAGTAACGTGGCATAATTGTCTCATAGAAAAGAAAATTTGCATTTGACTAAAAGTTAAACAAAGCATAAACTGCAAGTTCAACAGGAAAAGGAACCTCAAATCGCTGAGATTCAAAAGCAAACCTCCGGATCTATAGATGCAAGTGTGCCAAAGATATTAAATATGACAGCAGCACAGATAAGGCAGGCTGTTGAACAGTGAACTTCACTAAAGAAAAATTAATTCAAGCACTGATGATCAAGAATTAAATGCATGGGCCACCATTTGCCTACACAAAACCAAATTAAATTCCCTTTCCAGTCATATGCATAAATGCACAAATTTACAATCATTACCACGGTTTGTGACAATCAAACAAACCTTGATATAGCAAAATAGCAAAGCTTCAATCATAATAAAATAACATGGTACAACATAAGAGTATGTCTACGTTGTTTAACAGTCTATTGCTGTAAGGGGCTTCTTAAGCTTCCAAAAAAAAAAAAATCTTGGGAGCACCAACACGATTCTTCATGGTTTCATTAGCTTAGATGCTAAGCTTTCCGATGGTAGTTATATGAGGCGACTAGAGGATATATGGGCATCTCATGGTAAATAATATCAGCCAAAAAAAAAAAGGTTCTACCATGCTTCAGCAGTTTCATAAGCAAAGAATAACAGTATGCAGTAGTATTTAAAACTTAAAAACCATTTGACAGAAAAAATATTACTAAAACCGTGGATTAAAAGAAGATTGAACTCAGATCCAAACTTACTATAGGCCTCCAACAGGGCAGTGCAGCATGAAGCTGGAACTGGAGAAGATGGCAGCTCCCTTAGAACATGCTGTAAATAAGCTGTGTTAAAAAGATTGTATAATCTGACCAACAGACACACAGGATTCACTATTTCTCTTAGGTATAAAACAATGGCTACCTCCTGATATAAGCACAGCATTGACAAGCTAGCGCCCAACCAAACCAAAAAAAAAAAAAAGACATATTTTAGGCTCTTATATATCACGGACATCTATTTTTGTATGGTACAGGAATCAGAACACTAGTGTACAATTTGTTCAAGATTGGTGAACCTTATTTATCCTCAATTTTCAGTACTTGCAGCAGTTTCTCTGAATTTTAGAAATTTTGGCTTGTGTTAAGAGGGCAAAGCTTTATAGCACGCGCAGGATATGCTGTAATTCAGTGTCTTCAAATGTAGCAATCTGCTCAGATATCTACTCTATGTTGTCTAGAACATGATTTCTTCCAGTAGCTTCCTTTACACAAGAAGGATTGGAGAGCATTATGTATCAATGAATTTGTATGATTCTGGTCTTCTGGATTTTTGTTTTTTGTCTACTTTTTTTGGGCTGTGTTTCAAGCAATATGTTAACCCACTCCTTTGGAATTATCTCCATCTAATTAAATTTCTTCTTTTCTTTGAAGAAAAGGGCGGGGGGAAGTCAATAAAGTTTTTCAAATCCCTGATCTGCACTTGCTAGTTACATTTGTGCTTTACAGAGTTGAGGGATGTGCAGCTTTACAATCGACTTTATGGAATTTCTGAGCATGTTGTATATCAGATGAGGATTTTCTTCCCCATCCAACAGTATGTTCAATATAACATGTTATTACTAACCAGCACATACCTTAACACAGTCACCAACAACATGGGCATCCTCATCAGAGCCAAATTCAGTCTTGCCTGGAAATATAGGTGAGAAGTAAGGCACCCACAAGGTCCAAAAAATAAATGGATAAATAAATAATATGCATATCAGAGGATCTTGGTCACACTATCATCTTTCATGGTCTTTCATTTGAAGAATGGGGTAACTCTGCAAAAACTGGACGTAAAGACACTTATGCGACGGGCTAGTGGCAAGCCAATTAGTATACAGAATCATTTGTTACGCCGGACTAAGGTTGGCTTTCTTAATAGTTTGGGGTTTTAGGTTTCATTTAAGTATAAATGCCATAAAAGGTGTAGGATTTAACAGCTGCCTGCCTTAGAAGATAAGGAGGCACAAAGTAATTGCTCCAAAAATGACTTTCATCCTACGTAAAAAGGGGGGCAAAGAAAGAGAGAGAGGAAAAACATTGAAAAAAGGAAAAATGAAGTATGAAGACTTCATTACAAGAGAAAAATCCTTGAATAAATGCACAGTCCTTATGCCTCTCTGTCTCTCCAAACCACAAATCCATGTCAGTCAGATATCTTGACTTTATGAAACTTGGTATCCCTCTCTACTGGTACGTTTTGGAAAATAATTAGATCAAGTTCCTCATATCCATTATATAAAGTTCTCTAATCACATATAGCCATATATAATTGAAAAACTTCATATAATGGATATAAGAAACTTGATCCAAGTATTTTCCGTACTTTTTCCTCTTGGCTTGCAAATGGTTTGAAAGCTCAGGGGACTTTGTTATATGGACTCCAAGCCTTTTAAAAATCATATTGCTTGTCATTCATAGAGATAACAACGGCTTTAAAGAAAATTATCAGTACCTTGCTCATATTCCTGAACCCTTCGATCAACTTCCTCAACATCTGCAGACTGCCGTAAAATTCCTTCAACTTTAGTTCCTGCAAATTGAATATGGCAAATTAACCATTACTCATGCATAAAACTTATTCTCTGATTGTAAAATCTCTCATTGTAGAATTAGATAATATGATGACTAGCATCCAATTGCAAAAAACCCCAAAAACACCATGGCAGAGGCCATGTTACATGGCATATTGCGGGGACTCAATTTCAGAAAATATTTTAAATGATGAGAATTTTACAGAATACACAATAGAAGTAAATAAACAAGTGCAGTAGTGTTTTAACAGAGTGAGCTTCATCTTGATGGTGATCAAGCCTCTAGTTATGACCTAGGGAATCTAGGAGAGATGTAGATTTAGATTTTAGAGAGCTGTGTATTTAGGACTCCAGCACTAGAGTCACATGTCATCTGCTTCTAACTATTGGCAATAACAAGGCCATCCTCAATTAGACGCAGAGATTGTATTTATGGAGATTTGCTAAGTATAGAAGGAGAAACCAAATAGATTTATTACTGAATAAAGAATATGGGAAGTTACAGAAGTAAAAAAGTAAGCATACAGTTCAAAACAGTTGCATACAAGTGGTTTGTTTAGTTCAATAAATGATCACGAGCATCAGGTTGAAGAGTGAGATTATATTACGTGGCAGCATGAACTTAGTTTCAGAATTAAATCATCATGCAGTCATGTATTAGGAGACAGAACAACCCAAATTAATGAAAATGTACAAGGGCCCCGCTTTCCTTTCAAAAATATCCTCTATTTTCTCTTAATCTCTTGTTGACTGCAACATAAACGACCACTTTTGTGACTGCAAAAGATTCCTATTGCTTAGTTTCGATCAAGAGTAAGGTCAAAAGCAGCAACACTAGCATGGGGTACTGCTGAAGCCACATGCTCCCACGATGCAATAGTCCAGCCGTCCAGCCATCATGTGAGTCTCATAAATAATAAATCCAGTGTTCCCTGAGATGATTATTAGAGAAAATTCACCTTCGTTCCATTTCTATATCTTCACTAAGAACAGGAGAACAACAAGCAGAATTTTCCACAAAGAGTCTCTGACATGGGTTAGGATTAATTTCATATCTGAGAAAATGGGGCTGGGCATAACCTATACTCCAACTAGAGGAGAAGTGACACGAGGACAAGCTAGGACCATGTTAACCCTATTTAGCATGAATATAGATCATACATCGCACGGAGAGTAAGTCTAATTAGTCATGTTAGTCCCTGCCACCTGAGGGGCATCAGAAAGTTAAATGAAATACAAGGTCATGGCACTGAAAGCCTCTTTACTTACCATGATTCTCAAGAAACCGAAGAGCTTTTTCAAGGAAGGATGGACCTCCATCAATATCCTCTAATGCTAGAAGAATTGGTCTTCCAACAACCAAAGACTTAACAGGACGCTTGTCCCTCCCTGGATGCCCAATAAAAACGAGTGAATATAAGGATGACAGGAAGTTGGATAAACAAACAAAATAAAGATAAAAAGAATAAAAATACAAAGTACGTGAAAACATAGAAGGAGAGACTTCATATATAATTGAACTATGCCATTAAAATTGAGACAATATGCTAAAATGTAACAGCGGTAAAGGACAAACATTGATTAAAGGACCCTTCAAGGGAATCACTCGCATCACTCCTAAAAATCCCATTGTGACCCATGACGAGAGCAGCACTTGGTGCTTGTGCTAGGGCTTGTTCAAGAGCTGTCTTCCACTCATACAAGTCTTCTGATGTCTCAGCCTAACATTTGAGAAAATAATCAAGAATTTGTATAGCCAGACAATTTCAAATGCCCGTTTTTTAATTTAAAAAAAAAAGGCAGCTGAATTTGGATCCTATCATATAGAAATTTAGTAGTAAATGAAGAACCTTAAGAGTGAAAGCTCTCCCATCACGTCCATCAGGAAACAGTACAGTGAGCAGTTTCTTGTCTTCTCTAACAACAACACTAAAAGATAAAGCTCAAATTATAAGACAGATCATCAGAACGTTACACAAAAAGGATTTCAGCAACAAAACTTACCTCCCTGAATTGTTTAGGTCAATGCCTCCCAAGGTCATATTTACTTCACCACCTTTCTGTGGAAGGGTACTCTACATTACAAATTAAAATAAGCTCATAAGTTTATACTTTGAAGTCACCTCCTAATCATTAACCACAAATGCAAATGAACAAAATGCGGGAAACAGAATAAACTATCAGTATTCTGATATTGATAGAGGGAAAGGTTTAATGAATCACAATGTTACCATTTGCAAAATCATGGTATATGCATATATCCAAGGCCAATTCATACAGAGAAGCAGAAAAAGAATTGAATGCAAGGAACAAAAGATTCCAAGTAAAGATAGGCTAGATTTGCAAGATACTAACTGGATCATTTTTAAAGAAAACCAAAGATGTACGTGTAAGTATAAACCACCGCTTCTTCCAAGACTTCCAGCCTATTCCTGCAAAAGTTCAAAACAGAATGCCATGAATATTTCCGTATCACTGATCATTAATATATATATATATATAATATATTACTCAAAGCCACGTTGTTCACAAGGCCATGAACCATGCAGCTTTTAGCCTCACGTTCCATGCAAACCGGGCCCAAGATCAAAATTAATTTATTTATAATACAATTAAGTCCATGGAAACAAAAGGCCTCTAAAATCAGAAATAGCCTCCTTCCTCCTTTCAAAAGAAAAGGAAACGAACAAGGAAAATGGACATAAAGACAAACCTTTGGAAGATATGAAAAGCGGGCCACTTTTGAACACCTGCAAATAATACCACAGGTTAGAAACCAAGACAAATCATGATTTGCTAAGTTCTGATTGAAATAACCGAAAATCAAACACTTAAGACCACAATACATATAAAACCACTTTAAGTACAAACCACCACATTTTTGGGGGGGGGGGAGGGACATCAATAACATCCGCATAAATACACTGAAGCAGGCAGGAAAACACTCAATATGATCAACATTTAAATTTTTTTAAAAAAAAAAAAAAACACCTTTAGATATATTGATTGACTCTAATAATAAACCAGTGAAACCATCGCCAAATTTCATACTATCTTAGCACTGACCACAAGGGTTTTGTTTAGAATCTTCAAGATGCTTGGATCTGAGAAAATTATAAGCTGACCGAACAAACCAAACAAACCATGGCTGAAATTCTAATAGAAACCTAGCGCAATTCTAAGACATGAAGTGATCAGTTATTGCACTGTCACACTGGCTACTGTATCAAGATCTAGATAGACAGAGGTTGCACCCCCGGGGGGGGTGGTCTAGATAGACAGACTTTTGAAAGATCTTGGGCATGCTGCTACTTTAGAACAATTGATCTTGTACCAGCATAGAGGTTTTAGAAGGAATAAAAAGAGCATGACCCACTAGAGGCAAAGCCTCTTCGAAGCAATATGCCTATTTGGTTTGAGCTTAATGCAATAACTTTCCTTAACGAAGAACCCACCAATTTCTCTGCTACAAGGGTTTTTTTCCTCCTTTTGTATTCCATGTTTCCACGTTTCCGCTATGGAGTTCAGCAAACGGTGTAGTAAAAGTTTTCTCTGAGAGGCTATTAGAATGTGTTTTCTTACCTTCATGCCTTGTCTCTATTCGGTCCCTACTCTTATCATCCACCCAGTTAACCTTATCCTTGCATTTAATAAATCATCAAGAGACTAGCAGGCCATGTTCTTTTGGCAGATCACACATAATCATTTAAAAGAGAACCGAACATTGAAAAAGAAGACATAGCTACTTTTTCCCCTTAAAATAGTTGCTGCTGTGATGGATTTTTCAGGGTCTCTCAAGTGTTTACTACTTCCAACTTCTTGATGTCATGAAAATAATAATCAACTCAATATGTTGCAAAAAATAAATACTATAAATTAAAAAACACATAAAATGTAGGATCTTCCAGTCATTAGTCTAATAGATTAGCAGTCTTAATTTTGCTAGATGATTATGTAAACTTCCTCACCTCTTTGTGAGGGTTAGCATCCTCTAAATTTATGTGAGACAAAAATATCGTATACTATCCAAAAGCCAAAAAGTTAGTTAGTGGATCAAGAAAAGTTAAGGTTGGGATAATTTGGCTGAATTTATCTTTCCTCCTGATTCCAAGAATTCCTTCTTATATATCTCTTCTTTCTGTCTCAGCTGTAATAGTTTCTCTCTTTTCATGCCACCAAACTTGCATCCTATGAAATCCGTTTTTACATTAAATGACTTGGGGTCCCTTGGTTCAATGAATCATGCTTACTGGGACGTGAAACTTCCTTCCCAGAAAGTTCATGTATGATTTGCTTGTTAATTTTGCCATTTCCCAAGAAGTTGAAATTATTTTAAATAAATAAATTATTTGTTAATGTTAATAACACAGATACCATTTTCCTAGATAAATATATTATGATTAATATTAACTGGTTAAGACTATTTTTGGAAAAAGATTATAAAACACGAGGGAAGTACTTCCCTGGGTTTTGCTCTGGAAGTTGAATTCTCTATCTCTAGTCATCTAGGAAGTTGGGCTTCCAACTTCCCGTAAACTTGAATTGTTTTTCGTGCCAAGCAACAGTATTTGCTCTATTTTCCAAAAATATAACTTCCTCCCTTTACTATCTTCCCCCCATACCAAGCGATCCCTTCATTGCCCATAAGCTTTATCAGCCTTAGAAAGCATAGAGCACTATTTATCCAACTAAACTGGAGGATGCTATCCTCCCTATAAAGGTATAGTCTCCTATCTATCTATATCAATATGTGTTGGATGCACGCATGCATGTATACATGTTCATTTTCTTTCTAACATGTAAGATCTGAATAACAAAGTTAGCGCCCATTAACAGTTTCATTTTTCTACATGACATACTTAGAAATAATCAACCTTCAATAGTTTCATGTGAGATGTATTCTATGACAGAGAGTATATAGAGAAGAGGCCCCCCAAGCATACAAGAAATCTATTCACTATTTCAAAGAACAATGCGGAAAACATTATAAGTTTCCATGACATGACCATTGACAGAATAAGTCATGCAGACTTAAACATCACCAAAAGGCCATTACAAAACCCATTTGACTGGGCTAGGCCATTGGTTGATAACTTGTTAGAAACTTTAATAGGTCCACTTTACATTATTCTATTTCACCATTCAACTCAAAAGTCAAGCTGCGTCGCTTGTGTCAAATTCTTCCCCACATACTGCCCACGGCCTTCTAATTATTGCAATTTCAACTCACCAATATATACAGAGACACTTATATCTTTGAAGAAACACATCTATTAAAATATATATTTTTCCGGAATAATTTCATCTCATCTATTAAAGAAAAACTTAGAACGTACCTTCGCATCAAAGTAAAAGCCTAACATGGAAGACAAACCACGAAAGGCCTCGCTTAACATTATTTACTCCTTTAACAACATTCTGCTTAATTAGCCCAGACCTGTAATAAATCTAAAGAGTCCCCGTTCAAGCAAGAATGAACATAATTCGCAAATCACAATTCCCTGAACTTTCTATCAAAGAATGCATCGTTAACCCTCCGGCATTCACTCCCATTCCAATCACAGATATCAGAAATATCAAAGGCTGCATTCAAAAACTGCATATTTCAAGCTGATTCATTTCTTCAGTGCCAAACACCGGAAAAAAACAAAACTTACAGCGTTCGTAGCCCCAGGCCGAGGGCGCTCGAAAGGAGCTAAAGAAGCTGACATTTCCACAGAGAATCACTCAAGCAACGGCATTGAGTCTGAGTTCAAATCCAAGCAAAACCACTGCCCAAAATGCATAACATTTCAATCCACCAAATCTTTCCAGTCAACACATCAAAGATCGGCTAGTGAACTCCAGCAACAAATCAAAGATCTGGCCCCAAAAAATGGCGAACTCTAAAAGCTTCGGATTCGATGGGACACGTGAATCAAGGTCCCTTCAATTTCCCAATCACTTCCCCTGATTTGGACAAAAGAAAAAATAAGAACTTTAACTCGGTCAGAAAACCGCTTCGGACTTCTTCATTTTCTCTCGCTTTCTGGCGATTTTCCCGGAGTTTCTGACAGGATTAGGTGGGGAAGAGCAGTATGTAGATGATAATAATATGAAAAACTGAGGCGCTGCCTTGCTTCTCACTTACTTTATGGGTCTATCTGAAGAGAGGGAGAAATTAATTACAGAGAAGCAATGAGGAGGGAAGGTTAGGATGCTCTCGTCTCAAAGTTCAAGTCTTTTCTAGTAAAAATGTACCGACAGTGAAACACGACTCATCCAACCCCAAGTTGAGTTAAAAACCGCGGCATGTTTCAAGATAAATTGCCCCCTCGTTGCCCGGAGTCTGTTTCGTATTATTATTCTCTAATACTACTCCTTTATAAAGATTCATTTAACTAATTTGATTAGATTAAAAAAATTAGATAAGTTAATTAATTATAAAAAATATGACACATTTTTTCTAAAACACCATAATTATCATTTTTAATACTCCATCTCCCTCTTCTACTTGATTATGGTTGAGAGAGTATCCATAGGGGTAATTTAGAAAAAATTGATAAATATGAAAAATGGATCTTATATTTAGAACCAAAACCAACTCAACAATTGGGTCTTATATTAAAGACCGGAGAAGTATCTCATATCTTTTATTTTAATCTTAAATATAATATCATAATCTACTTTATCTATTATATTTATTCATTTTTTTAAAGTAGTCCTTGTAATAATAGTAGTTTTGGCCAATACACTTGATTAACAAGGATATTTTAAGAAAAAAAACCCTATTTATTATAAATAACTAATTTAATTAATTTTCTTAATTTACTCAAATTAGTCAACTAGCTCTTATATTAACGATCAGAAGTCGTGTTTATTTTGTTATTGTAAAAAAAAATTAATATTTGGTGAATAGTGCGATTATTATTGTTTTTTAAATATTGGATGTCTCAAAGGGAGAAAGCTCAGAAAAATAATACCTTTAGTACTTAATATAAGAGTTAGTTAACTAATTTGAATAGATTAAGAAAATTAGTTAAATTAGTTATTTGTAATAAATAGATATTTTTTTAAAATATCCTTACTAATCAAGTATATTTGTTAAAACTATCATTATTACAATAACTACCTTAAGAAAAAAAGATAGATATAAGAAACAAAGTGGATTAGAATCTTATATTTAAGACCAAAATAAAAGTCAAACAAGTTTTCATGTTGAGAACCGGAGGTGGTACTTTTGAATTTCAAAATTTCAAATCAATTTTCTTTCCTGCATCTTAATAACAATTAATAATATTTGAAAAGTAAACAACAATACATTGTTATAGTTATTCTTTGTATGGAATTTTGAAATTTTAAAGTTTTCTTTTTTGAGATTTTCGCTATGTCAAACTCAGGCTCCGATGGAAATAATATAACGAAGGTTAAATATGGTATTCCCTATCTGCACATTGTTTAAGTTATTTTTTTGGCAAAAAAAAGTTTATTTTGGATTTAGATTTCTTTAATCGCATTATTATGTAAAGTTTAAAAATAGTAAGGTGTGCAAAAGTTAATCAAATTAATAAAAAATCGATTCATAATTAAATTTTACTATTACTAAAGTGATCTCTAAGCCTGAAAGTATATTTTGGCGTTAATAATCTCTTGAAACCTATCTCACTTAAATTTTTTAATAATGACTTTTCATTTATCAAAGTAATCTTTAAAGAGAAGCAGGTTAAAATAAAGTCAATTATCAGCCTTTTTTAATGCAAAGATTTAGATAAGCATGCCAATATCGAGTTCAAAAATAGAACTACATCTCAGCCTGGCGATTATGGCTGCTACTAGGCAGTTTATTCTTGACTTAAAAACCTGTGAGGCGGTCTCAATGCAAATTCCCATTATTATTATTTTTTATTCCTTCATAATTTGAAATTTTCTTATGATTTTATGGCTCCATCATAATCTAATAGTAATATTTTTCTCGCCAACCATCATAATCTAATAATATAATCCTTAGTCCTTACTTGATATTTTTTTGCCCTCCTAGCAATGTCACATCCTTAATCAATTAGCCGTTATTTCAATTTCCTTCCTTTTATATTCTAAAATTCGTGATCTTCTAGTCTTAGGTTCTGTTTGAATGACTCTCAAAACCATGGTTTGAGAGGCAAAACTATAGTTTGGGTAGAATGTCACCCAAACAGCATCAATTTTGATGCCATAATCTGAAACCATGGTTTCAGGAGAAGTGAATTCATTCTGCTTCTGGATCAAATTGAAGAGTATGATTGTGCCTGTCAGAATAAATCTCAACAATAATATGACTTTAACATCCCTCAATTAATTTTTTATAAACATATTAATCTTATATCTTATAAATATATATACACATATTAATTATTCATTAATTATATTATCTTATGTATTATTAATTATGTTGGTAAAAAATATATTATTAACATTTTTATTCCTTCAAATTAAAATATATCATAAACTCTATCTTTTATGTAATTATCATATTAACTTATGTCTTTTTTTAGTAATTTGTATATATAAAAAACGTTTCTGATAACAACTATCCAAACATTCTCACTTCTTAAAATCACTTTTTCACAAAATCTATTTTTCACAAAATTTATTCTCCTCAGAATCTATTCTTCAAAAACTATTCTCCAAGTCATAGTTTGGTTTTATCCAAACACCCTCTTAAAAAGAAAATAGAAATATACTACTTTGGACTCTCGTTTGCAAACTACAAATAAAATTTTATAATTAAAACCGAAAGTAATATATTAGACACTCGTTTTGAGGTCGTGCGAATAGTGATATTATTCTTTCAACTTTGGCAAAAAAAATATATTAATTATTTTAACACATGTAATACCGTCCTACTTGATTAAAGTAATCAAGGCTTACTATTTCTTTGAAAAAATCTAATTAAGACATCGTTAATATGCTTCTCAGACTTTTTTGAATAAAACATTGAGCCGAGGCTTAAAACTGTTAATACTTAGTAATTTCATATTGATAAATACTCATTGATCTTATTTTTAAGTTATTTTAAACATATTTCACACATATTAAAAAAATATTAAACTTGATTAAATTTGCATCAAAATTTAATAACTTTTCAACTTTATCCTTATTTAATATATATTATATCACATGAAAACAAAATCAATATAATAATAAAATATAGTAAGAATGGTGAATTTATATTTAAAAAAATCTATTTACCTTGTAAATACAACTAAAAAAATTATTTCTCTCTTTTCCCTGTAAAGAAGATAAGAAAAGTAAGATATAAGAAATACAATAGTATGTTGGCAAAAAAAAAAAAAAGATATGAGAACTAGTATAATGTTAAGACCTGTTTAAAATAACTTATAAGTAATTTTTTAATTATAAAATAAATTTTATCCCCACTTATATAAAACATGTATATAAATAATTTTAAAAATTATACCAATCGGGGCCTAAAGTGATTTTCCTTGTTTTGTCCAATAGGCGTTGCGCCTGGTTCTTTTTTTTTTTTTTAATGAAGATTGCGCCTAGTTCTTCACAATCAGATGTTGATGATTTATGAGAGCATTATGACAAATAACTGTCTGCATCAAACAGTAATTACCCCTTTTATATAATAATAGATTAAATTATTTTATTTTATTTTTAGTTAAAATACAATTTTATTAAAATAAAATAAAATAATAACAGGTAATACGGCCTTGGACCTTAACGATACAAGAACAAAAAGCCAACTATTTAAACCCAAGTTATATAAAAAGTACATAACAAAAACTAAGGAAATTATACAAGTACATATACAATCATGCAAAAAAAAAAAAAACAGAGAGAGAAGACTAGATGATACTACCTTTAGTAGTTAATATAAGAGGTAATTTGATATTTAATTTAGTCATAAATATAACATTTCAATCCACTTTATCTTATATATTTATCCATTTTTTCAAGCTGTGTATTAAATATTTCATCATATGGTAGTTTTAGCTAATACACATAATTAATAAGAGTATTTTTGAAAAAACTATACACATTCATTGTAAATAATTAACTTAACTAACTTTTTTAACCTACTCAGCTAACTCTTTTTTTTTTTTTTGGGTTCAACTGTAATGAGGCATTGCCCATCTCCGCGAAGGGGCATTCGTATAACAAAACTACTATTATCTCTACTAGAGTTGGACCACTAATTTTTAATTATTAAAAAAATTAATTAAATTGGTTATTTATAATGAATTAATATTGTCTTCTTAAAATACTTTTATTAATCATGTGTATTAAAACTATTTTAGATGTGTAATCATCAGATTACTTGGATACAAAATAAATATTAAGCACAGAACAAATTAAGGTTTTATATTAGTATCAAATCGAATATTTAACTAGCTTTCATATACCAAAAAGTACTGGAAAATAATTTGTAGAGAATGAAAAACAAGTTAAGAGGAATTAGTGATTTTTAGAATTTTAGATTGATCTCTATTGATTATCTATAGATAGGTATATATGTCTTAGATTTGGATTTCGAGCTAGAATATATATATATTCTCTCTATATGCATTTAAAAAAGGGCATATATAAATTTATAAATGATTTCCAATTAGCTGATAGCTTGTGGATGGTTGAGAATTTGTCGACTTGGTTACCATTAAATTATACAAAAGTGAGGGTTGTCGCCTTGTCTTTTGGAATATTACCCTCTTTTAACATGACATACCCTTGCACATCTACTAGGGTCAATAATAAACGGGAATATCCTGTGTTTGAAAAAGGAAAAAAAAAAAAGAAGAGGAGAAATTGAATGTCGCATCAGAAAAAATTCATATGAAAAAGTTTATGTTCACGTAAAATTTACCATTCAAACGAGTCTTGATGAAAAAGTCTATTTATATGGTACATTGGCCTGCTTAAAGTGTTTTTGTCGAGTCCAGTCATATGCAATTGAATTGAGTAAATATCAAGCTACTACTTATAGTCCTAGATGTAATAATTTGTTGAAAATTCAGATTTATTCTAAATATAAAACTCTAATATATTGTTCCTCATATTTATTTATTTATTTAAAAATAATTCTCATCGTGATTACACATGTTAAATAGTTTACATTCTAATGCACATAATTATCAGGGATATTTTAGAAAAAACAATAACAATTATTACAAATAGCTAATTTAACTGATTTTTTAAAT